CCCTGTCCCCGCCTGCTAGCCTCGCCCCAATCAACGTCGATTGCGTGAAAGCCCGCCTGCTCTTGAATCCCTCCCACCTGTTTGGGTTCGCCCGCCCGCCGATTTGCGCCCGTCCGTCCCGTCCCTCGGCCGTCCGATCGGTTGCGTGAAAGCCCGCCTATTCAGTGTCCCGCCCGTTCGGGTCCGCCAGCCCGCTCGGATGCGCTCGTTCGCCGTCCGCCCGTTTGGGTCCGCCAGTCCGCCCGCTTCCTAGCGTCGGCCGTAATGATGAGAATGAACATTACGGCTTTGACAGTGCGACCTGTAATGATAACGATAATCGTGGTGATTATGATGGTTACGGGGATGGTCGTTATGGTCGTCAGCACAGCGGTGGCATTGAAACTAGCCGCTGTGGTGACGATATAGGTGTCCTCGGTCTTGTCCTCCACCTGCGCCTCCTCCTCGTCCTCCGCATGTGCTCACGCACGTGCGAGACGTCGAAGCGTTTTAGACGCTGGCTGGATTCGAGTGACCTGGCGCCAGCTGGGTTCGAGTGCTTTAGAAGGGAGATGCGATGCAAGCTGGGGTGGGGGGATTCGCGGAGACTCTTGGATGTCAGGGGTGGATCCTGTCAGGGGGTGGCTGGCGGTGTTTCTCAGCCAGGTGACCGTGGAGGCCGTTCCCGCATTGCTCCCCCCCCCTCTCCCTGGTCCCCTGGCTCCTCCTGCCCCTCATCCTCGTCGTCCTCGTCCGCAGCCGTTTCGGCTCACGGGTTCCTTTGGCAGTCTGGCCCAACACCGAATCCAGGCCTCGCCGCGCTGGCGACCGAGCTGCCGAGCACCATGGAGGTGCTCGGCGCCGGAGGCGCCGCGGGCGCCGCCGAGGGCGGCCAGGTGTGGATCGAGAACCACCCGACGGAGGGCTGGACGCCTGGCAGGGTGGACTCCGTGGCCGCGAGCGGCTGTCAGGGGCAACGCTAGTCACCGAGCGCATTCCGCTATTCGCAAAGTGCTTGCTCGCAAGCGTCCGAAAAACACATGCCTGCCTCGAGGTAATCTATCGCAGATCCACCGCGGCGGATCCAGGCCATTTGCGAGCATTTACTTTTCGAGTAGTGGAACGCGCTTTTCTAGATAGGGTGGGGGAAGACTCAGGGAGGAACGCATCGATCCCCAATCGCGAATCAGAAAAAACGCCATAGACATGAACTTTAGGCGCTCCGCGCGGATTTCTTGGATCCGCGCGGGGGCGTCCAGCGCAGATCCAAGAAACACGCGCTGAGCGCCAAAAGTTTATGTTCATGATTTGCTTATTCTTCTTCTTCTTCTTCTAGACTTGCTCCATCGATTCCAGGTCGATGCTTCCCCCCTGAGCCAGCCCCCCCCCCCTCTCGCTGCCCCTCAGGCTGCTACATCGTGGTCGACGAGAGCGGCCAGCAGTTCGAGGCTTGGCGGCGCGCGCCAGGGGGGAGGGGGTTCAGCCAGGGGGTCGCGGCCTTCTGCGGAAGACGAGGGCGGTGGGGGGGCCTCGCAGAGTCGGGTCGGACGGAAGGGTGGGGCTGGGAACTGGTGGGGTTACGAAGTGTGCTGCGCGCGGTTGGTTGCCGCCCCGCTGCGGGGCGCTCTCTTCGGGCGCCTCCGGCGCTGGGAGGCGCGGGGAAAGCCAGCGGTGTACACGAGCTGGTTCGCTCACCCCCTTTTGCTGCGCGAGGCGTTCCAAAAGGGGTCCTGCTGTCGATGATCGAAGGAGTTGTCATCTCTTCCTCGGCGGAAGGCGGCGGCGGAAGGTGGGTTGAAGTAAAACGAGGCCGCCTCCGCCAGCGGAAGGCGGCGGAAGTAAAAGATGAGCCCCCAAGATATGAAAACGCTGTTGGATTGAGGGTTTCCGAAATCGCCCACGTATCCTCCCCTGCGTCCGACCCGACAGAAGAGATCGGCCCCTTCGTGGCGACCTCCGAAAGGGCATTTCAGAATTCAGGAGGGCCTCTTAAAGGCGGACCTCCTCGGAATGCCGCGCCCCCCCGCCCTACCCCCCTTGCAGGGTCCATTTCGATTCGATCGATCCGAGTAGGTGTCGATTCCGACCGGCTTGGTCCAATCCGGTTCCGATCTCCTAGCGATCCAGTGCGGACATGGGCATGAAGCAGATGGGTCTTGAGAGGAACGGGTCTTGGGCCTCGGGGCTTTTCACGGGAGCAGCTCTTCCTCCCAGGTCTTTCTTTGACGGCCCCAGGGCCCGCAGAGAGGCCCTGTGAGCCAGAGAACCGCGAAACACCCTCAGGACCCATCTCCTCCAGGACCAGCTTCCTTCATGCTATCACACACAGAGCTCGCGCTGTCAATGCTCTGCTCTCCGAGAGCTTCGCAGCGTCGTCCGCACCTTGCTTCTGCATGTCCGAGCTCCGCAGCTGCCTGCACGCCCTCCTGTGCTCAGCTGCGTTCTTGCTCTTATGGGCACTGCGCAGGCCTGACGAAAGCTTGGGAGGTCCCTTCCGATGTGTGCGCGCCGCCCAGAGGTGCCTCAGGACAAGGCCCGGCCGGTGGACACGGCGTGCCTGCGCGGCGTCGACGACCTGCTGGCGCTGGGGGACTTCAACGAGGGCGGCCTGCTGCACAACGTGCGCGTGCGCTACTTCCGCGACGAGATCTACACAGGCCACGGGCGAGGGCCATATCCGTACGGTAGGTTCGTGTCGTGTTGGCCGGCGGCCACCCCGCCAGCGGCGTTCAACTTTGAACGCCGCGGGCGGCCCAGAATCGCTTGATGTGGAACGATTAGGACGTTTCGGAAACGGCCGATCTCGCAAGGTTGAACGATCCCCGCCGCGTCAGAAACCAACGCCGAAGTCGGCACGACACGAACCTGACGTATCCACGGACTCGTGGTCCAGACTCCTTGGCCGCGACCCCACGAGTGCAGCCGATGGCCCAGATATCCGAAGGCGGGCGTTTTTCGACGCTGGCCTCCAGGGGCTGGCTCTCTGTGCCGTGGGGCCGTCAAACATGGATCCGGCATGACAAAAAGTCCCCAGGGAAGGGGCCGGGACCTTGGGCCGCGCATTGACAAAATCTCGTCGTCGGAAAAGACAAGGAATCAACATACGCTTTCGGAGGTCCGCGCGGATTTTTTGGATCGGCGCTGGACCCCCGTCCCTTGCGCGCGGAGCCCGCCAGGGGCGGCGTCGCTGGGGGTGTCAGCGCGGATCCAAGAAATCCACGCGGACCTACGAAAGTTAATGGTTGGGCAATTGTTTTCTCCTTCTATGCAAGGCAGCGTTGCACGGATGCCCCGCGCGGAACGTATCCAATGGATCGCGTATTGGTGTCTTGGCTTCGACGGCATGATTGCGGTTATGTCTCTCTCTCGCTCGAGCAGGCATCGGGACCCCGATATTGATCTCCATGAACCCGTTCGCCAAGCTCCCAGGTCTGTATTCGGAGGAGAAGCAGAGGACCTACAGGGACACCTCCGCTGCCGGAGGCGGCGACCTCGACCTGCCTCCGCACTTGTTTTCCGTGGGCGCGGCGTCCTACACCGCCATGCTCACCGACGTGAGGAGACGCGGGAGGCAGGGGGAGGCGGAGGGGGAACTGAGCCCAGACCTCTTCTCAATGAAGCGCAAACGTGGACCAAGGCGCGTGGCTCAGCGACGGGTTCCGTCGCCATACCAAATCGGCGTGCTCCGTCGCCAAAACAGGCGACACGGGGATTACGTTCCCCGATCCGTGCGTCTGGCGCCCACGCGCCAGATCCACGGATTCTGATCTATGTTAGCGTGTGCTCGATCTTCGGGTAGTGCCGACAAACCACGACGGAGCTTTTTTGTCGGACCGACGCGTTTTTTTCGTTCACGTCGACGTGCCTGCCGCTAATACCGCTGCCGCCGCCTGCTGTCAGTTCGACGCTGGCGCCCGCAGCTGAACGGTTAAGCACCACTTGCGTACCTTACGCTCAGCTGGTAAAAAGGGGTCCGCGCGCGGACACGCGCGCGCGTGATTCTCTCTGTATATCATAACCTTTACATCTGCTCAGTGGATAATGCTGAGCTATGGCGTACGTGAACACGAAGGAACTTCCCACGAACAGGAACCATGGTGAAGAACACCTGAGTTGCGATACCAGAGTAATGAGCGTACGCACCTGTCGAGATTGGTAGACACTGGCAAACAATTAGTTCCAACCCGAAAAGATAATGGGATACCATCTTGACGACGAACGTAATCAGCCGGTCATGGGAGCAGCAACGCCCAGACCCGTATGCACGCATCCAACGAACAAGAAAAAGACAAATATTCACAGGGAGATCGTGCAACATAACTCATGATCGTGTTCCCTCGGCCGCCAATACATAGTATTGCGACTTCGAAGAACCCAGGCATGAGAAGCATCCCTGGGAGATTTACTCGCCACTGTTTTCGGAAGGTGGGTCGAACCTTACGATCACGAGGGCTGCGCTGCGAGGACTGACTTGGGGCCCTGCCCCGACCAGCCCCAAGGCGCTGGCCTGAAGAAGGGCCCCATCAAGCGCAGACGAGGGTGCGGTACAGGTGAGCGGAGGCCTTGCCTCCTCCAGCTGCACTGCCCCTGAGGGCTACCAGCCGACGGTTTTCGCATACGGACCCGACCTCCCAGAAGATCCTTACGGCGGTATCGGGGCCGTTGGTCCCGAAACATCGCCGCAGGGAAACATGTTCGATGAAGATCGCCGCGCGGTAGGATTGATTCCATATAAAGAAGACGACCTTCCCGCAAGTACGCCGAGCGCTGTCAGTGGCAATGTGAAACTTCGGACTGGTTGGTCCATTGGTCCATTCTTAGGAGAGGACGTCTACGCTTGTTCGCAGGCAGGCCGACGGTGTACACATTGCTTCTCATTGATGGAGCAATGCCCGCACAAGACCCAGTTCGGTGCGAACTGGTTCTGTCGTGCTGGGGTTGAGATCGTAGGTGATTCCACGGGCAGGATGGTTTCGGGCTCTACAAGTAACTGCACCGCGGTCGGGGTCCACGGGAGAGTCATTTTCGGCCGTGGACAGCGCGTTCGAGGCCGGAGCCACGATCCAAGGAGCGATCAAGCTTGCGTCGACATAAATTTCGCCAGTGTCCATCTTAATGGTTTCAAAAGCGCGTCGAACGATCAACCTTGCATCGTGATGTTCCTGAACATGAACGGGTTGGCCTTTTCAAGCGCTATCTAGCACTCACGAGGTTCTCGGCGAGGCAGAACGGATTGTCGCCGCGATTGGAAGCGTAGTCGCTGCCTGCCAGAAACTAGTCGACACAATCGCCCGAGAAGACTACAGTCATAGATATTGCACGCTTGCTGTCGTTGGGGGGAACTGCCAGAGCTGGCTTCCGAACGATGGGATCGCCCCGCCTCACGGTGTGCGGAGCCCGGCCGTCTCGTGCGTGCGAACGGCCACGCGAGGAAGGGTGCCCCTCTGGCTGGCGCTGGACCGCTCGGTTCGGCGCGCGGTCCTCGATGGAACAGCTATCGTCTACAGGCTACCGCCCCTCCCCCCCTGGGGAGGGGTGGCATCTCTCGAGCAACAGCGGAGACACTTTGCATCGCTCGGCCGTGTGCAATTTTCCTTCGGCGAGGACCATCGAGGCGCATCCTTGATCACTTGGCGAAAAAACCACGCACGAAGCTGAAACATGCCCCGGGGAATGGACGTCCGAGCGATGGCGAGGACACGGGAAAGGAGTTTTGCGAAATGTGTAGCGTCCGCTGCGGGCACGACATGCGGAGTGTGGTCGTGCGACCCCGCCGGGACACCGCTCGCCGCCCCGGGGGGGCACCCCGGCCTGCGGCGGCTCTGCCGTCGGGGCTTGGGGGGGGGGGGGGGGGCAGAGGGCAGGCCAAGTTTCGGGGCTCAAGAGACGGGGGTCAATGCAAACGGGGGTCAGCCAGGGCAGCACATCCTGCAGGATCCTGCGAAGACCCCCTGTGGCTGACCCTGGTTAGCGAGCCGCCCGTGGCCGCGAGGCGGCCGCGCACATTGGCTGACCGGGGTTTGCGAAGCCCTGCGTTGCAGCTTTTTTTTCTCCTGCATTGCAGTTTTTTGGTTCCCTGCTGACCCGGGTCTGGATTGACCCGGGTCAGAAGATCCCCGTAAGTTGCGAATGCGGGGGGAGGTTGGGTTCTGGAAGAATTTGATCAGTTTCGACGGATCCGTGCCAGAGAGCGCTCAGCGCTCCTGGCAGGAAGGTGCGCGAACAACTTCTTGCCGTCCCCGCTTTTCCCCCCGGGATGTCTGACTCGATGGGCAACAAGACAGCGAAACAGTGAGTTCTGGACAAGGGCAGTATCGGACACTCGGCCATCAAACATTGCCAGGAGCTCTCAATAGCTCCCTGCCAGAAAAGGTGGCTTCCAGGCGCCCCGATCCCAAGTGAGCGTTCCCAGGGAGCCTCGGCCCCCTGTTGTCCCGAAGTTTGAGATACCGACTCTCGCATTGCTGAAGATCGTGGCGGGCCGCTGGAGGGGTGGGGGTGATCGCTCCTGGGGAGTTCTCGAACGGTCGTGCAGCCCTCTTACCGGCCTTGGGTGACCTGTACATCGAGGGTGCGGTTGGAACCAATTTGCCCGGGTCAGGCTCAGAGGACCCGATCCGGTTTCAAGAGAAGTGCGAGATAGGGAAACCGCCGGTTGCGAATCGTGGAGCTGCGCATAGACTGTCCGAGTTGGAGAGATTCTACCGTTTGTGGGTCCTCGCAAAGGCGGAGAGTCGGGCCCAGCGATTGAGTTCGGTCCGGCAATGAGAAGTTTAGCGTCGAGCAAGGAGAAGGCAGACAATCTGAGCCTTCATCCAGACGGAAGGCACATTGAGAAAGTGAACAAGAAGACAGAAGTTTGCTCGGCTGAGGGGTAGACACCTGAGGTCCGTGCTGTCACAGGACTACTCGACCCTAGACTGGTTCAAAGAGCTCCTTGATAACACGGGGCAGAATCAGTGGATCTTCGACAACTCAACGGGCAGAACCTCCCCCGACCTGCACGGACGGCTACATCCAGAAATGATGGTCGGATTGGAGAGGATGCGGGCAGTTGACGGCGACGGCAGCGACGTCGGCTACGGTGGCGACGACGGCGGCGGCGACGACGACGGCGACGGCGACGGCGACGGCGATTCCAACAGTGGGGGCAACGAATCCCACGGCTGCGACGGCGGCGGCGGGGTAATACCGTGCGTGCGCTCGGTTCACGCGGAGGTCGGCGCCGCACCCAGCGCTCGCGGTCGGCGCCGACCCAAGGGATCCGCGCGGAAAGTCGGAAGGTCCACAGGCACGTTTCTCGGAAACTCCACAGGTTGGTCTTGAAGCTCGGGAGCTTTTCCGTGTTTCCTCTGGAGCTCCAGAGGTGCAGTGGGTTCGTGTCGTGTCGACGCCGCGGCGACCCTATCGCGGGCGTTCAAGGTTGAATGCCGCCAGTGACCCATCATCGGCCGAGATCGACCGATCTGCGCTATCGGGCAGCCGCTATCGTTCAAGCTTGAGCGATCCATGCGGTGCCGGAAACCAACGCTCAAGTCGAGTCATGACACGAGCCTGCCACATCAAGACCCCATGCTCTTGTGGACCCCCTTCCCTCGCGGCACTTTTGGAGGAGGGTGAAACGGGAGGAATCAGTCCATCATCATCTCCGGCGAGAGCGGGGCGGGCAAGACAGAGGCCACAAAGAGGATACTTGCTTACTTCGCCAACCTTCAGGGCGTCCCGCCCGCCGGCGTGCAGAGCATCGAGGACCAGGTGTTGAAGTCCAACCCAATATTGGAAGGCTTCGGCAACGCGAAGACGATCCGTAATGACAATTCCTCCCGATTCGGGAAATACATCGATATCCAGTTCGACACGGCCGGCAAGCTGAAGAGCGCACGTGTCTCCAGCTACTTGTTGGAGAAGAGCCGCATTGTGAAGCAGCAGCCCGACGAGCGCGGATATCATGCGTTCTACCAGCTCTGCGCTGGCACGACGGTCGGATTCCACCAGGAGCTCAGTGCCGAGCTTGGTCTGCAGAGCTCGTCTGATCATCAGTACATCTGCGGTACTACAGACATTGCAGGGGTTGATGACGCAGCAGATTTTGCTGAGATGGTGGATTGCATGAAGAGTTTAGGCTTCTCCGATGACGAGCGCGACTCCGTGTTCAAGATAGCCGCTTCCGTGCTTCACTTGGGAGACCTCGAGTTCCAGGAGCAGGACAACAGCAATGACGGAAGCAGGATATGCGACATGAGCAAGGCCTCACAGATCTGTAGGTTGCTCCAAGTCGACGAGACGGAGTTTGCGAAGGTGTTTCAGTTCAGGACGTTGGAGGATCCGTTCACACACAAAATTATTGACATGCCGCAAAAGGAGCAGGATGCATCAAACACGCGGCACTCCATGGCGAAGTGCCTCTATTCGCGGCTGTTCGAGTGGTTGGTATGGCGTATCAACGAGAGCACCAAGGCGAAGGAGGTGAGCAAAGCTCAGGATTGCAAGAAGATTGGCATCCTCGATATATACGGCTTCGAAGTGTTCGATTGGAATTCATTCGAGCAGTTATGCATCAATTTCGCGAATGAAAAGTTGCAGCAGCATTTCAACTCGCATATGTTTACAATGGAACAACAACTCTACAGTGAGGAGGGCATCTCCTGGTCGCATATCGAGTGGCAGGATAATCGGGAAATCATAGATACATTGGAGAAGAAGCCAGTTGGCTTGTTTCCTATTCTGGATTCTGAGTGTTTGATGCCAAATGGGAACGACACCAATTGCCTTGGCAAAATCTGGAACACATTCAAGTCCAACAAGGTGGTGTACAAGCCGAGTAGGTTCGGCGACACGAGGTTCGCAATCGCGCACTACGCCGGCGAGGTGATATACGACATTGTTGGCTTTCTCGAGAAGAACATCGACAAGTTGCACAATGACATCATCAATCTTGGAAGGTTCCTGGACGCCCAGTGTGGCCCGAGACGGTGGGGTTGCAGGATCGCGCCGCTTGGCCGATCGCCCATCGCCGATGCATCGGCACTGCGGCGCTATCTGGAGACGTCCGCAGAACTCTCTTCCCGAAGCCGCAGACGCATCGCAGCTGCATCGGCGATGCGGTGCGTTCCTCCAGCCCCATCTGCTTGGACCCCATTTGGGCGGCATCCAACGTCGCACGTGCGCGCTCGATTGCGAGGCGTGCGTGCGTGCTGCCTCGGTGCACGAGCAGACAAAGCGTAATTCCGCGGGCAAGCACGCGTGTTTATGAGTGCACGGCGTGTTGCTGCGCTTGCGCGTGCCGCGTCTCGGGTCCGCACGGGCTGTGAATCCCTCGGACGCCTGGGTCTGGGCGGCCTTCGCGGGATTCTTCGGGCCTGGCGCTGCGGCACGTTGGGTTTTGTTGGGGCCCGGCGATGCAGGATCCTTAGGGATTGCCCGGGATCCCTGTGGCCTGGCGGCCGAGGCGGGTCGGGAGCACCCCAACCTGCCTGGCCGGGAAAGACGTGAGTTTTTGGGGCGTCTCTGCCTGGGCGGCCTCCACGAGTTCATCGAGCACGTCGCTCCTGAGGGCGCCTCAGGGCGCATCCCGAGGCGGGAAAATCAGCAGGAGCTTTTCAATAATGCCCGAACGCCTTGACCACGATCCTCATCGAGGGGGCGGAATGACCCGTGTCGGCGGTCCGGGGCCCCAGCCGAGCCGAGCGCCAGCGCCGCTCCTCTGCAGGCAGGGTCCTGTTCCATCCGACCAACCCGATCCGATCTCGACTTTTCGGCCAGCCCGATCCGATCTGATTCCGATATATATATATATATATATATATAATAATAAAAATTATATTATGTGTAGCTATATTTATGTATATGGATATATGTGTATATATATATATATGTATATATGTGTATCGGCGACCCGATGTGACCCGTTGCTTGCACAGCGCTGTTGTGCACCCTGGCGTGCCAGCGCAGATCCAAGAGATCCATGCAGACCGTCGAACGTTTCTGCTTGTGCAGTTCTTTCCTCCCCTGTCCTCAGCAGGTCCTCGAGCATGCCGCTCCTCAAGGCGCTCTTCTCGGACCCCAGGTTCGCCCTGGAGCTGGCGCCCCCGCCCGCGGCCGCGGGCCGCTGCCCCACGCCTCGCGGCGCCACGCCGGTGCGCGGCGCCACGACGCCGCGCAGCACCACCCCGACCAGGCAGGTCGGAGGAAAGAGGCGCCACCACTCCAGGCCTCCCAGATGGAGTCCGAGTCGGTTGAGCGAGGATCTATCGAGGATCGATCGTTGGATGTTTTTGCCGCTCCTCTTGTTCCTCTTCCTCTTCTCCCTCCCCCGGGCCGCCAGTGTCGTCGGCGCCGTCGTCGCCGTCGACGACGACCCTGCCCCCCCCCCAAAAAAAGGGCATGAGAGTTCCGGGCCTCCCAGATAGGGTCGGAGTAGATGCAGATGGGGTCGGAGCATCGCTCCGCATCGCCGATGCATCGCCGATGCAGCTCGATGTGGAGCCTGATTTCCTCCGCACCGCCGTCGCCGATGCATCGCCGATGCATCAGCGATGTATCGGCGATGCGGCGCGATCCTCCTACCCAATCTGCTCGGACCCCATCTGGGAGGCCGCTAAGGAAGGAGAGGCGACACCACCACCACCACCAGGGGGGCCACCTCCAGCGAGGGGGCCCAGTTCTTCCTCGCCAGATTTCTGCGGGGCTTATTGCCCTCCTCGTCGAACCCACTGGCGGCTTCAGGCCGATAGGGGTGTTCTGCTCTTGGTACAGAATCTGGGGCCGGCTCAGGCGGCCCTATGCTCTGTCCTGGGAGCAGCAGCACCCAAGTCGGTACTGGGCCGCTGGGGCTTTCCGAGGAGCTGCTGACGTTGTTTGGCGTCAAACGGTCCGAGCCGAGGCTGGAATAGATTGCAGGGAATGAAGTGCCAGCGTTTTCTACGATATGCTCAAGTACTATGAAACGATTGGTCTTGACATGCTGGAAGACAAGTGCTACAAGCACGGATTCCCTGAAGCTCTCACGCGCGTCTCGCTCTATGACTATCGTTGCGGCAGGTTCATTTCGATAGCTGGCCTGCTTGACGACCCACTTTTGGTTATTAACGGGGTGATTGCAGGCTGCAGCCTTGCGACCACTCACATTCGGATTTTCGCCATGGATGCGTTCGACGCGCTGCCCATGCATGTGAAGAGTGAATTTGATGTGTATATTGATGATACGGGGGTTTCTCACACTGGTTCTCATTAGCAGGTTGTTCAGCACATCGTGTCCATGTCGCATGTCTTACATCAGGTGATCACTGTTGAGATGCAGTGCCAACTTTCGCTTGACAAAGTTTGCACGGTGGTTTCCAGCAAAGGGCTAGCCAAGGATAGCTTTGCCAGTTTTTGTGAGTTGGGAAGGAAGGTGTTGGATTCCACTGTCAAGCTAGGAGTTGACTTCTGCGTCGGCCGGTCGGTTCGAGTCCCGGGCAGGAGATGAAAGCTAGGTGTGCGCTCATGTGTATAAAAGGTTGGATGTCTCAGAAAGCAGACTGAGCATGTTGGCAGGGCGGCGCTCAAAATCTGTGCTGCGGGCCCCCTCGCTGGAGGGGCCTACGGGTCCGAGATTTTGGGCATCTCGGACCAACAGCTCCTGCTTATGCGGCGCCAGGCGTTCTCCACCGCCCGCCCCTTTGCCAGAGTAGGTCCCTCACTGCAGTCAGCATCCTCTCGGATGGCCCTTGCTGGGGAGCTGCCTGCGCTCCTATAGTGCTTTGGATCAAAGAGATTTGGATCACCCACGCGCGAGTTGTTGCTGGTTCTCTATCTGCTGCCTTGTTGCGTGCTGCCTGGCATATTGTGTTCTCGCAAGAGCGTTTGACGTGGCCCACTGTCAAGGGTCCTCTCTCCTCCCTCCGCATCTCCCTCCTCAGGCTTGGATGGATAATGCAAGATTTATGACCATTGTCGATGATCGAGGTTATACCATTCCCCTTGGCCTCACCTCCCCCAAGTTGCTCGAAGCTCTGTGTAGGGACGCCTACATGAGAGGTCCGAAGAGGGACCTGGGAGGTAAGTGGGGAGTGGGTAGAAAGATGTGCCTGGGCATTCCTCGTTTTGCCTGTGCTTCCAAAAGGACTACGCCAGCCCAGCGAGGCTGGATCCGGGCTTGCACGAGCTGCGCTATCTGGACAGCAGATCGTGCGATCAGCCGCGGCTATGGTGTGGACCCGCTGCGCCCTCGTCGCCGACAGGACCCCGACTCCATCCCCACATTTTGCGGTTACGCAGCGACCAAGAAGTTGCCGAGCAGAGGGCTCAGTTGGTCCCCGCCTCGGTGATTGATAAAACGAATGCTGCCCTGACGGCTGAGGCCACCAGCGAGGTCATTTGCTTATATTCCGGAGGAGCTTTCGCTCATCCCGTCGGCTACCTGCCCAGGCCAGCCCTGGAAAGCACCAGCGCCCTGCAGTACGTTTGGCATCGCATTAAGCTGGAAAGCGCAGAGAGGCCCAGGGCCGCGGTCAACGGAGAGATGTGGGGACACTTGTTTATTGATGGCTCTTGCCAAACCCATCCTGTTCGAGAGCGTTCTCGTGCTGCTCGGGCAGTCACCATGAATTCGGATGACGTGGAGTGCCTTGGAGAGGTGCGTGGCCTTGTGTTGGCCCATCTTCCACAGACGCCAAAGGCTGCGGAGTTTACGGCCCGTTGCGTTGTCTCTCAATTCTTGGTTGTCCCTTCTACGGTTCATTCGGATTGCGCGAATGTGGTGCATCAGTGTCCGTTGTTTGTGCCCGATAGGTGCTCAGGTAAAAAAGGGTCTTTTCGGGTGATTCTCCAGGCCAACATGTCTGAGCAACAGCTCGTTACAGAAGTGATCAAACGCTAAAGCCCGCATGGATGCTAATGTCGCAAGCATCTCGGAGGGCGAACGGTTTTTGAGGAAGGATAACCTTGACGCGGATGCTGGTGCCAAGCATGGGCTCCAACTCCACCCTTCGTTTGCAGGTGAGTTGAAAGACGTTTCTGAGCTAGTCGACGCTGCCCGAGCGTATTGCATCATCGCTGCTAATATGTTTGCCTCTCTGGCCGAAGCTGTCTTTAGATGGTCCATACTCTCCACCTTTGTCGGCGCCCAGCGGCTCTTCGGTTCCGCAGGTGCCGCGTAGGTGGGAGAGATGGTCGTGGATGTGGAGGTGCGCTGTGTGCCTCAGAGGTAGGCGCGCAGGGAGCATGCCACCTCCAGACCATTGTGCCAACATTTCTAAGTTGCACGCGTCCCGGCAGCAAGAATTGGGCCACCGCGCGGTGGCGTTCCCATGCTCGGATGGGTCAGTCCTTTTGTCACTTGTCTGCGCCGCTGCAAGTGTCACTCTTCGGGAGCCTTGGCCCGAGGCTTAGCCGAGCGCTGCACGACGCCTCCGACGCGTGCAGCATTCTACGGGTGGGGGTACATTTGCAGAAGCAAGCACCCCCAGTGCGCTTTCAGGAAGCGTGGAGTCACGGTGGATACCGACGGCTCCATGACTTGTGTCGACACTGTGGATGTAGGCGATTTGCAGCAGCTGCAGCCCAACAGTGGAGACTTTAGGCCCACTCCAGGGGCGAGGCTCCGCCACCGTCCTGGCGTTGTCTACACCAGGGGTCGGCGGAGCCTCGTCGTCCTGGCGTCGCCCCGTGTTTTTCTCGTGCATGTGCGAGCGTATGTGTGCGGCGCGTCCTGTCTGCACGCGTGTCAGGCACTTCGCCTCAGGGGGAAGGCGCACTCGCTCCGTGTTGTCTTTCGGCGGCACCGTCCTGCCGTTTCTTTTTGTTGTTTGCTTTGGCTGGCGGTCCAGTTCCGCCAGCCATGGTCGAGCCTCCCTGCGGGTAAAGTTCTACAGTGGGTGGCTCGTGGCCTCTCGGGAGGAGCAGCCTGGCCTCCACAGGCGAGGTCTTCAGCCTGCCCTCGCTCCTGCAGGTCCCGTTCTGCAGGAGGCAGTCATCAGCGGTGCGGGCGTCGAGCTCAAGAAAATCCTCTTCCTCCTCCTCTTCGTCCTCTTCCTCCTCTTGCTCCTTCTCCTCCTCTTGCATCATCCACCTCCCCTCCTGTCCGCTTATTTCTGCACACCTCACGCGTCTCGTGCCCCCCAGGGCCCTGGGAGCTTCACCTATGGTCTCAGTGGGCGTGCTCACGTGGCGTCCCCCCGTCTATTTTGGCACATCGTGCCCCCGGGGGGCTCCGGGCATGGCTTCCGCGGGCGAGCTCGCATGGCGCCCCCCGCCCCCCCCCCCGCCAATGTCGGCACACCCTTCACGTTTCGTGCCCTCCAGTCAGCTCCACTCATGGCCTCAGCGGGAGTGCTCGCATAGCGTCCCCCCGCCCATGTCGGTACACCCCTCGCACGTCTCGTGCCCAACAGGGGTATGCACCTATGTCATCAGTGGGCGTATGTGGGCGTGTTCGCATGGCGTCCCTCTGCCCATTTCGGTACACCCCTCACGCGCTCCGTGCCCGACAGGGACCTGCACCTATGGCCTCATCGGGCGTGCTCGCACAGCGTTTCACCGCCCAGTTTTTCGCACCCTTCACACGATTCGTGCTCAGCAGGGAAAAGCACCTATGGTCTCGGTGGGCGTGCCCCGCCCATGTCGGCACACCCCTCACGCGCCTCGTGCCCCGCAGGGGGTGGCACTTGCGGCCCCAGTGGGCTGGGCGTGCTCGCGTGGCGTCCCCCCGCACATTTCGTCACACCCTGCACTCGTTTCGTGCCCCCCGCCCATTTCGGCATCCCCCTCGCACTTCTCGTGCCCCACAGAGACCTGCACCCAAGGCCCCGGCGGGCGTGCTCGAATGGTGCCCCCCACAGGGAGCGGCACCTACGACCCCAGTGGGCGTGCTCGCATGGCGTTACGACGACGTTGGGCGACGAGCCACGAGCGACAATGACGACGCCCATGACCACGACCACGACTACGACGACGACGACGACGACGACGACGACGACGACGACGACGACGACGACGACGACGACGACGACGACGACGACGACGACGACGACTGCGGACCAGATTCCAATGCGGATTCGACGACGCGGACGCCTATGCGGATCCCGATGCGCACGGCGGCAGTGCCCGTGGCGCACTGGTGGGAGAGGGGGGCGTTACGTTATAGAGGGTGGGCCAAGGGCCACAACGCCCATTATGTCCCCAGCAATGACGATCCTGTTCGAGGCTCCGAGGTTCGAGGTCGGTTCTGGCCGGGAGCGTTCCCGGGGATCCTTAATCGATACGATCGACCCCCACCGCCAACGTATAAAAATGATGTTTGGCGAAGAGCGCAACCCGTCCTAAAACGAGTATTATAAACGGGACCGTTCAATCCCCGAGAAGGCGTTGAAGGATCTGCAATATCTCCAGAAATGCCGCCACATGCAGCCAGACCGCGCACGAAATCCTCCAGCCACGCGCGCATTCTCACACATCGAATCGCAACGGTGAAGACGATGAACATGACGCGGGGCCTAACGCGGCCAGGGAAACGAGGACATACGTTTCGTGGGGCCTTGGTGGACGCCACGCGAGGCGGACGCCATGCGAGCACGCCCACAGGGGCCATAGGTGCATTTCCCTGCTTGACATGGAACGTGTGAGGGATGTGCCGAAATGGGCGGGGGGACGCCATCCGAGCACGCCCACTGAGGCCATTATTGGTGCATCACCCTGTGGGGCACGACGCGTGCCAGGGACGTGCCGAAACGGGCGGGGGACCGATGACGGCTGTCATTTGGGGGAGGGGGAGGGGGCCGATAACGTCACGTTTCGCGCCAGCGGCGTCTGGGAATGCTTACGAATGACCGAGGACGGGCAGCTGCAGAATGTAGGTGGCGATCTGCACCACAGCGCTTGTGTACACCACCGTGCTTGCGTGCACCACAGCGCCTGTGTACACCATACCGCCTAATTATGTACACCAGAGCAGCCGCGTGCACCGCAGCGCCAGTGTGGGTCACAGTGCCTGCGGGCACCACAGCGCTCGTGTACACCACAGCGCCTGCGTACACCACACCAGCCGTGTGCAACACAGCACATGTGTACACCACAGCGCCTGCGTGCACTGCACAGCGCCTGTGTACACCACGGCGCCTGTGTGGACCACAGCAGTTGTGCACAACAGAGCACAGCTGTTGCAGATCAAACGTTAGAAGGGATCCTTATGGCAAAATGTAGCGCGTGTGGGTTCCACTGAAAATTGATCCGTACAGGATTTGGAAAGGAATCCTTATGCAAAAAGGAGCGCCAGTGGAATCTACGAGTCCCCCCGAGTCCTCCCGCATCATCCTAATTCCTCCCATCTGCGTCCAGGAGGCTCCAGCAGAATTGGCCGTCCGAGAACAAAGTGGACTGATTCAATAGACCATTCTGCGGTGCACGCTGGGATGCGCACGTGCGCCGTAACGCCGACCCGCACGACAGGGGGGAAGGGTGAGGGAGGATGATGAGGAGGAGGACGTGGAGGCGGAGGGGGAGGGGGAGGGGGAGGGAGGAAGGGAAAACGTCGCATTCTATAATCAGCACGTCCCTGGCGTATTATCCTCACCGACATGCTCCTTCTACGTGTCCTGTTCACGCAGGCACTGTGGTGTACACCATTTCTGCGTTGCACGCGGATGCTGTGGCGTAGACAGGCGTTGTTGTGTGCGCAGGCGTTGCGATGCACGCGAGCAGCGTGGTGCACGCAGGCGCTGTGTTGCACATGGTTGCCGCGGTGCACACATTCGCTGTGGAGTACACCGGCGTCGTGGTGCACGCAGGCAGTGTGGTGTACACAGGCGCTGCGTTGCACACGGCTGCTGCGGTGCACGCAGGCGCTGTGGTGCACGCGCGCTGCGGTGCACGCGAGCCTCGTGGTGCGCCACAGGCGCTGCGGGGCAGATCGCCACCGACATGCTGCTCCCAGTTGGACCCGGTCCTCCCTAGGCGCTCCTGGACGCCGCCGGCGCGTAACGTAACGTCATTTGGGGGTGAAGGGCGGGGCCGATGACGGCCGCCATCCCGAAAAAAAAACACAAACAAAAACGGGCTCTTGTGGTGCCGGAGCCACGCGGCCGGAGGGGGGGGGGTGTTACGCAGTACCCCTTTTTGCATAACGCCCGTTATCGCCGAAAATTAAGAAACTCGTTCCTCTTAGTACCGGATCCATTGTTGATGGTCCTAGGGCTCGGGAACGGCCCCCAGAGGTCGGAATTGGCCTTGCGAAGAGCCGGAAACGACGATTAGAAACGGGACCGCTCAATCCAGAAGAACCCGTTGAAAGATCTGCAATATCGCTGACAGCCAGACCGCGCAGGAAGCCTTCTTGCAACAAATGCAATCTCAGAAATCGGTTCGCAAAGGAGAAGGCGGCGATGAACATGACGCGGAGCAGAACGCGGCCAGGGAAACGAGGACATACGTGACATACGCTTCGTGGGGCCCTTGGTGGACGCCAGGTGAGGGGATCGCCATGCGAGCACGCCCACTGGGGCCATAGGCTAGGTGCATCTCCTTGCTGGGCACACAACGTGCGAGGGGTGTGCCGAAATAGGCGGGAGGACGCCATGCGAGCACGCCCACTGGGGCCATAGGTGCAGCTCCCATTGAGGCACGAAACGTGTGAGGGCTGTGCCAACATGAGCGGGGGATGCCATGCGAGCACGCCCGCTGGGGCCATGGATGCAGGTCCCTGTGGGCACGACACGTGCGAGGGGTGTGCCGACATGGGCGGGGGAACGCCATGTAAGCAGGCTCTCTGGCGCCACAGGCTCAGGTCCCTGTGGGGGACGCCATGCGAGCACGCCCACTGGGGCCATAGGTGCATCTCCCTCCGGGGCACGAAACGTGTGAGGGGTGTGCCAGAATGGGCGCGGGGACGCCATGCGAGCAAGCCCACTGGGGCCATGCGAGCACGCTCGCTGAGGCCATGAGTGGAGCTCGTTGGAGGGCACGACTCATTTGAGGGGTGTGCCGACATGGGCGGGGGGGGGGAGGCCATGGGAGCACGCCCGCTGAGGCCACGAGCGGAGCTCCCTGGGGCCATAGGTGGAGCTCCCTGCGGGGCGCGGAACGTGCGAGGTGTGCAGAAATGGACGGACAGGAGGGGAGGTGGACGGGGTAGGAGGTGGAGGAGGAGGAGCAGGAGGAGGAGAGGGAGAAGGAGGAGGGGATGAGTAGGAGGGAGGAGACGGAGGAGAAGGAGAAGGAGAAGGAGAAGAAGGAGACGCGCGGCGCTGCGAATTCACAATGAGGACGCGACACAGGAAAGTCAAAAACAACAAAGTCAACGTTTTTCGTTGTCTTAGGCCTGCGGGTGCCGTTTCTGGGCCCCGGGGCCGTCGAACAATTGGATGAAACATTGACCCAGGAGAAAGGGTCGGGACTTATGGGGACCCCGTATTGAACAACAGTAGGAACAAACTAACACATCTGTTGATATCTAGGTCCAATTCGGTCCGATCGGTCCGATTCGACATCGATTTGCATGGCGCCGTCGTGCATCCTGGCGCGGCCGATCCGATTCGATCTCGACTCCCTGCCGATGCGGGCCGATTCGATGCACGTTCCGACTCGATCCGATTTACCTACCGATCCGATTCTGGCAGCCCTTGCCAGGGGGGGCGCCGCCGCCGGCGCTGGGGCCCGGGCCAAGCAGAACGTGACGGTGTCGATGATGTTCAGGTTCCAGTGGCAGTCGGCCACGCGTACCCATATCTCCGACGGTATGTTTGTTCAAGCCTGATGTGTTTTGCTGATTTTGGCTTCCGGGGTCCGTGATCAGGCCACGGGACAGTTAAAAATTAGTTCGGGGCGACAAATTACTCTTGGGAAGGGGTCGCGACCTCCAGAGCTGCGCGCTCCCAACAAAGAATACCCTCGGATGCCCGAGTGAGCCCCCCCCCCCTTGCAGTGGCCTGCGCGCTTGGATTTGGCCCCCCCGCGGCCCCACGAAGTCGTGGCACCACAGGATCACCCTGGCCCAGATCATGGCTCCTGTGGCCCGCGCGCGGCGCGCGGCAGAACGCAGTGGACAGTGCCCCATAACGACGTTGGGCCCGGAAGGCCGGATGGTCTACAGACGTGGCCGTTGGCCGCCTGGCGGAACGGGAGACATTGGAAAAAGAGCCGGAAGAGGAGGAACACAACAGAAAAAGCAGGATCACCCGGGCCCCGGGTCACCCCTGCGCTTATGATTCTCCAACCTGCTTTAGCCGTGGTCACCAGGAAGAATTTCGAGCGCCCAAAAAAGTACCGAAACTCAAGGGCTTTCACGTGCCGGGCCCTGGGAGGCACTCGCCCGACACTGTTTCGACACTGTCTCGACACTCTTTTGACACTGTTCTCTGGGTGCTCGAAGTCATTTCTGGGATGCGGTCCTCACGTCGGACGGGAACCACATAACCCTGCGCCCGAGGCAGGCCCAGGGGCCGTGCGCACGGGCCTCCCCGCGAGAGAGCGCGGGGAGGCCTCGGCCGGCTCCTGGCCCCCGGGGCGCGGGGCGCCCCGGAGTTGACGTGCTGAGACCGCCGCGCTCCCCGGGCTGCGCTGGGGGCTCGTTGAAGCCGGTTCGTCCATGCCTCGCAGATCGGGCGGAGGGAACTGTGCACATGCACCGGTCCTGGCAAGGCCCATCCTCGACCCAGGATCGGTGCATGTACCTTCCTAGCCAAGGTAGGAGGGCGCACCGATCCTGGGCGCAGGATGGGCCTGGCCAGAATCGGTGTATGTGCATAGTTCTCTTTCCTCTAGCAGATGCGGGGTCGGAGAAGGTGGGGTCGGAGAATCGCGCTGCATCGCCGATGCATCGTCGGTTCGGCTCGATGCGGAGCCCGATTTTCTCCACGCCGACGTCACCGATCCTTCGGCGACGTCGCCGATGCATCGACGATGCATCGGTGATGCATCGACGATGTGGGGCGATCCTCCGACCCCATCTACTCTGACCCCATCTAGGAGGCCTCGAGCTTGGGCTGCCTCTGCGGGCTGTCCGTGCGCAGCTCTGTGCCCCAGCAGGCTTCAGCTGGACCAGCTTGTCGACGACCTCAACCAGACGAACCCGCGCTACATCCGCTGCATCAAGCCGAACGCGAACAAGGCACCGCACGAGTTCGATTCGGTCGACGTTCAGCGGCAGCTGCGCTGCGCCGGCATGCTGGAGTCGATCAGGATCCGGCGGGCAGGCTACTCCGTGAGGCGGCCGTTCAAAGACTTCTACAACCGGTTCCGGCTTCTCTGCCCTGGGGTCACGCCAGCGAGCAAGGCAAACCCTGATTTCAAGGACCTCTCTCAGCAACTCCTGAGCAAGCTGGAGGCCAGATGGGCGAAGGAGGGCCAGCCGATGGCCGAGAAGAGCTGGCAGGTCGGCAGGAGCAAGGTCTTCATGAAGGAGGCGCTGCAGGAAATGCTCGAGAGAGGCATGAGCACCGCCCTTCACGTGTACGTCGTACGACTGCAGACGAGATGGCGGGCCTGCAGGGCGCGAAGGCTCTTCCTGAAGACCCGTGCGTCGGCCGCCGTGCTGCAGGCCGGCCTGCGCACGATTCGGGCGGCGACCGCCTTCCAACTCAGGAGAGGGAGGGCACTCAAGAACCCAGGGACAGTGATACATAGTGAGATGTGGCTCCCTCCGCCCGCCCCTCGGAAGACGAACCACCAGGCTGTGAGTTCTTGCGCTCCGGATCTCTACGGGGAAGCTAGACACATGTATGCGGGCCAGGCCCGGTTGTGTTCCATGCTCTGGGCTTCCAGCTTTGTTTCGTCGGGCCACGTCAGATTCGAAAAAGGGTAGTGCAACCCCTCTGAGAGATCATCCGCTTGTGTTTTATTTCCAGGGCCCCGCGCATGCCCGCCAAGGCCTTGCAACAATCCCAGTGTTTCCATCCGCCTGTGTTTCCTCGTTTGACCCAGGCGAGCCGCCCAAAGGGGCTCCGCCGTCGACGTATCCTTTCGAGGCGGTGGCCAGTCCTTTCTGTTCTTTTGCAGTGGCTCGCGCGGGGGGGTCAGGTTGTTGTGTTGTTTGACTTGTCTCACGCGGTTGCCATCCGTGGTTGGCCAAACATCTGCTTATATCTGGTGTTGAGGCCTGCCTTTGTGCTCACTCCTGCGGAAACGGCGGCGGGCCTGCGTGGGCACGCCAGAAACGCGTTTTTTTTGTTCTCCGCGGGGCAAGACCCTGTGTTAATCCCTCTGGTCGTGCACGGTGCCCCGCGATGCTGCGCCGCGATAACATTGCGAAGGCCTTGCGGCCAATACCGCCGACCCTGCAGGCAGCGACGACGACGACAATGGAGGTAGAGGAGTCCAAGATGCCCTCAGATGGCTCGAAGACGGCGCCAGATGCCTGCAAGGTCGTCCGAAGACAGCTCGAGAGGCCTCCTCCAGGGTTCGGGAACGGCTCCAGAGAGTGCCAAGATAGGCAAAGAGCGCCCTCAAGTGGCCCGAGATGGTTCCAAGACGGCGTCAAGCCGCGATAATATTTTGCTCTTCTGGGCAAGCTGCTGAGTGTTTCTAGTTGGCCATGTAGCGGCCCCGCTCGGCGACGCCAGCATCTTTGTTTTTTTGTCGCAGGCCCCATGCATCGGCGTAAGATTATATGACACGGTGTGACACATTACATTGCTCTGGAGGTAGGAGGGCGGAGAGAGGAAGGAGGAGAAAGGAGGGAGGGCGGGAGGGAGGGAGGGAGGGAGGGAGGAAGGGAGGGAGGGAGGGAGGGAGGAGGAGGAGGAGGACGGAGGAGGAGGAGGAGGAGAAGGGCGCGCGCACGCGGCGCCCATACGACAATCGATGGGGGACGGCCAGCTCACTTTCACAAGCTGAGCGATGAAAACTGCGGATATTGGAACGGCATCGGCGCCCGATGCATATTCGAGACCCGCCAGCTCTCAGAGATTTCAGAAGCATCCTCACCCGAATGTGTCATCATCCTGCTTTCGTCTTAGTGGGAGGCGAAGAAGCCCGGTGCCACCCTCTGAGCACGTTTGGCGTCTAAGCCCGTACGGCCGCCTAGCGTGCCAGCTCCGCATCACTCTATCGGGTCTGAGCTTTTTCGGCGGCTCATTCCGTGGCCGAGTGGGCTCAGACGCCGAAGTGGCTCAGAAGGGGCCCTGCGGGAGCCGACATCTTGGCTGCCTCACTCAGGAGGCGGCGATTGCGGTGCGCGGCGGTGGCGCTTCAGCGGCGGTTCCGCGGCTGGAGCTGCCGCCGGAAATTCGGGAGGCTGAAGGGCGAGATGGCGGCGGAGCGTATTCAGAGGATCGGGCGGCGGAAAGCATCCACCACCACTGCGCCACGGAGGAGAGGGTCCTGAGGGCAACGGGTCGTGCACCCGGGGGCCTTCCCCAGGACCACCTCCTCAGCCTCACCCCCTCTTTCCGGTCCCGGATGCCTTCCTGATGGCCTGGGGGCCCGTGGAGGGCCCCGGGGGTCCGAAGACGGCCAGAAAGATCCAGGACCTGTTTCCGTCAGGATTCGATTCCTTCTTGCCCTTGGCAACGCTCGGACGTGTGCATTTTTCCTTCGGCGAGGACCATCGAGGAGCATCCTTGATCATTTGGCGACAAAACCACGCACGAAACCGAAGAAAAACACAGGGAATGGACGTCCGAGCGATGGCAAGCTCAGGATTCGATTCTTTCTTGCCAGTCTCTAGGAGGTCTGCGCGGGTTTCTTGGATCGGCACTGGACGGCGCCAGAGGCGCCGCTCCTGGCGCGTTTCGTGCGCTGCGGGACGGGGGGGTCCAAAGCCGACCCCAAAATCCGCACGGGCCTCCGGAAGTTTGTGTTTACATGTGCAGTCTGTGGTTTCTCAGCTCGGGCTCCTCGCCAGTCCGCCGCCGCGTTGCGGCGGCGGCGCCTTTCTTCCACCACAGTCGAGGTTGATTAGTAGGTCGACCCTGTCAAATCGAGGGTACCCTTGTGCCCTGAGCTTCACGACCCATGCCTGCTTGCATTCCTATGGCAGTGTGGCCCTCGGAAGGGTCTTGTGTCCTCTCGCGCGTCCTCTCCAATCCACCCCGACTGTCTTTGCCTCCGCTCGCCTTCCTGTCCTGCCCCCTCCCACCGCGCCGGCCCGCCATGTCGGGCGCGCGCGCGCTCCGCCGCCTGGCCCCCTGGCAGCCTCCTGCCCAGATGTGCTCTGCCATACAGTGGGGGCCCATGCCAAGAAGCACCTTGCTTGCCTCCAGGGTGCGCTGGGTTTCATTGGGTTTCGATGGTCTTGCCATGGAAAGCGTAACGTTCCCACACCAAAAATCGACGGGCGTCCTGGGGTCTCAGGGTTGGCTTTCTTGTGGAAGGTGTCTCGTGGTCGGGCCCCCACTGCACGCTCGACACGCGCTCGGCACTTTGCCGTCGCCCCGGGACTGCGAGCAGGAGGGTCCCGGCCCACTCCCCACGGAGTCCCACCCCGAGCCCTAGGCCGCCCAGCCTGCACACGAAGCCCTTCATGATCCGGCTTCGCCGCCCGTCCTTCCCTCGTCCCCGGTCGCCCTCTTCTGTCCCTGCGCCTGCTGTGAACAATGTGTGTGTGTCTTGCGGACGCGGCGCGCTACCGCCATGGTTGCGACTACAGAAGGCACGTCAGATGAGATACCAGCCTGCCAGCAGGTGCTCTACGGAAGAATCTTCCTATCACCATGCGGCCCTGGAAGGACCGCATCAGCTCTGGGGCACCTGAGAACCTTCGAGCATGAGCGAATCATGTCCCTCAGCATCTCTGACAGCAAGATGTCGTATTGCATGCGTCTACGGTAAAGGAAGTTCCTGGCTCCTGCTTCTCTCAGGATCCGGGAGGAGGAGGAGCAGAGGGAGGAGCTCGCGGCCGCGAAGAGGGCCGCGGAGGAGCTCAGATCGGGGGGGACAAAGATACCGATACCGTCCGATACTGCTGCCCTGTCCCTCATCTCGAGGAAGCGCAAGCACGGATGGACCCCCACCTCCTCGCGCTGCGTTAACAAAAAAACACCACTGAAGGTTTGTGACCGTGTTCGGCCTCCGAGGCCCTCACCGGGCCTCGGGACCGTCCAGAAACGACCCGGGATGTAAAACTGATCACAGGGAGGAGGGGGTCGAGACCTTTGCGGATCGGCGTTGTGAACAAGTCACGGCGTCGGAGTTTTGGGAAGGCGCGTGCATGAGCGACGGGTCCCGCTTCCGTGCAGACTCCGCGCGCTCCGTCGCCAGATCGGGCGGTCCCGGCAGCACGTTTCGAACATTTTTTCTCCCCCAGTCCGTGGATTTGGCGCTCACGGCGCCAGATCCGCGGATTCTTGGTCCATGTTGGCGTGTGCCCGACCGCCGCCACGGCCGGATTCGCCGAGAAATATTGGTCAGAGCCCGCCCCGGGAGTGTTGCATGTTCGTGTCGTGTCGACACGGCGGCGACCCCAGGGGGCGCCCAAGGTTGAACGCCGCCAGTGGCCCATAATCGACGATGATACTGAACGATCTGCCGATCGAGACGCCGCCGATCGTTGAAGCTTGAACGATCTACGCGGTGTCAGAAACCAACGCCAGGGTCGTCACCGCGGGCGCAAAGGCATTGCACCCACGAGGCGACAGCATGATCTTCGATAAGAGCAGCTTTCGCATGGCGCCAAAGACTCTAGGCCTCCTAGATGAGATCGGAGCAGATGGGGTCGGAGGATCGTGCCGCATCGGCGATGCGGTTCGAGGTGGAGCTCGATTTGCTGCACGCTGACGCCGCCGATGCATCGCCCACGTCGACGATGCATCGCCGGTGCATCGCAGGTGCATCGCCGATACATCGCCGATGCATTGGCGATGCGGCGCGATCCTCCGACCCCATCTACTCCGTCCCCATCTAGGAGGCCTCTAAAGACACGAGCTGGACTCCACGCCGCCGAGGGGGACCCCTGAAGCCCAGCGGTGTCGATCCTGCCGTGGCGGTGTCGGTACCCCTTCTGCTCCCCCAGGAGCGGCGGCGCGCCGAGGAGGAGGCACAGGCGAGGCTCGAGCGGGAGCGGGCGGAGGAGCTCGCGCGGCAGGCCGCGCTCGAGAAGGACCGGGTGCTGCCTAAAATCGGCCAAAAAAACAAACGACACCACCCCACCCTGCGGCCTTCCATGTTGCGCTACGGCCCATCGGGGGGCCGTAGCGTACACCATGCAAAAACCCACGCCAGGTGTCCTGGTATACGCTACGGCCCGTGGGGCCGTAGGTGGGGTGGTGCCGCTTGTTTTCTGGTCCATAAAAAAAGATGGCCCCACCTCCTCTCAGGGGCAACGGCAGGGGGGATTCAACTCAGGGGGGAATGCATCGACCCCGAGTCGCCCGCTGATCGCTGACATGGGCCCGACAGGCCGCCCCGACCCGGAACATGTGGATTCGATGTCGGGGGCATATCGTCGATCTGTCGGGGATGCATTACCGATTCCAAGTCGATGTTCCCCCCCCCCCCTGAGCCAGGCCCCCCTATCGTCCCCCTGCGTCCTCTCGGCGCGAAGAAACATCAAGACGGGAGGTGTTTAGCAGCTTTCGGCTCCTGGGGGCCCTTACCAGGCCCCAGGAAGGTCCAGACGTCGAGGGGTCCACGCTGCGAACAAACACGATATCGGAGGTCTGGGGATCCCTTTTGCCCAAGGTGCCCCCAGGATTGCCCGAGAGGCCCAGAGGGCCCCAAAGGCTCCCACATCGAGCGTGGAGCCTGGGAAATTCGTCAAAAACGAGAGCTTGTGAAGGTCCCTGCGGATCTCTCGGCTCGGCGCTGGAACCCCCCTTTGCGGCGCCTCCAGCGCTGACCTTGGCGCGATCCGCGCGCCAAGGAAGGGGGTCCAGCGCCGAGCCAGGAAATCAGCGCAGACCTCCAGATTCAGATTATGATGGGCGAAGTGAACAGTGCACATGCACCGATACTGGCCAGATCCGTCCTTGGCCCAGGGTCGGTGCATGTTGGCCTTCCTGGCCAAGCCGCGAGGGCGTATGCACCGGCCCTGGGCTCGGGCTGGGCCTGGCCAGGGTCGATGTATGCGCATACTCTTTTGTTGTTCCTCTCTCTCTCTCTCTCTCGGCTCGGGATGGGCCTGGCCGGGGTCGATGTATGCGCATTGTTGTTTTGTCATGTTCCTCTCTCTCTCTCTGCTCCCTCTGCCTGGAGGAGCGGGAGGCCGAGCGGCAGCGTCGCCTGGAGGAGGAGCTGGCGTCGCTCCGAGCCGAGAACGCGGCCCTCCGCAGGAGGGCCGCGGAGCCGCAGGCCGACCCGGCCGAGCTGGCGGCGGCGAGGGCCGAGGGCGAGGAGCTGCGCGGGCAGCTGCAGCGCGCGCGGTCGCAGGTCGGCGCCCTGGAGGCGGGCGAGGAGCGGGAGGGCCCCCCGGTGCCAGGGCCTCGCCCTTGGCGGGCCTCGCCCTGGGCGCGGGAGGGCCAGAGCGGGGCCAGGACGAGGAGAAGTCCGCGCTATAGAGCGTCCCCGAGCGCTCTCGGAGCAGCCCGAGAACGTCTGGGAACGCTCTGAGGAGGCCGCGGCGCCCGGTAGTATCCTCCAGAGTTGTCGTCTCTCAGAGATGCTCGATGTGTCCTCACCCGATCTTATCCTCGTCCTAGCTTTGTCTGAAGGCCGGAGGGAGCCCGGCAGAAGTGCAACGGCGTCGGGCTTGGGAGGTGTATGGGCGGGTAGGCAAGTTTTATAAATTTTGACATCGTTTTTGAAACATCTGGCGTGGGCCCGAGCAAGATTGACACCAGTTGTGCCGCCCCCCCCCCGTTTTTGTTTGGACTGCGGGCCCATGGCCCATGGCCCCTCCCGCGAGGGTCAGTTATATAGACGAGCGTCTGCGGGGGGGGGGGGGCGCGCTGATGTATTTGCCGACTCGTTCCTACAAACGTTTGGCAACGAGAACGAACCAGCGATTGAACTGATGCAATCATTATCCCAGTGCGACCCTACCTAGGAGTTGGAGCCTCCATGCTATGCTATGCTATGCTGCGCAATGCTATGCTGGGCTAGGCTAGGCTATGCTATGCTATGCTATGCTATGCTATGCTGCTCTATGTTATGCTGCGCTATGCTATGCTATGCTATGCTATGCTATGCTTTTGCTTTGCCTTCGCTTTTGCCTTCACTTTTGCCTTTGCTTTTGCTTTTGCTTGGCACCCAGGGAGCGCAACTGGGGGAACCGCGCGTTTGCTTTTACCTTTGATGTTGCTTTTGCTTGGCTCCCAGGGGACTGGGGGAACCGCCCGGGGCGGTTTGCACTGCCCGGCCCCTTTAAGCCAAGCGAGTAAGAACCCTTCTAGGCAGAGCCTAGGTAGGGAATAAACGAGAGAGATATGCTTGTTTGGGGATGGGTGGGCGGACAGCAGTATGAATCGGTGGATGCGCGCTTGAGGACACGATCGTTCTTTCAGCGTGGTGCCAGACGTCCGAAGGATGCAGCACTGGTGCAAACGTTGTTCCGCGATTGGGAATCGACGCTTCGACTGCAAAGCTTCGCTCGATCTAACTATAGGCTACGGTGTGGCACACCGTAGCCTATAATTAGATCAAAACCATGCCAAATCATGACTCATCCGATCGATCGTATGGCTCCGACGCGTTGACCCCGCAAACACCGGGTGTGTGTTAGCGAAGCCATGCCAAATCATGACTCACCCGAGCGATCGTATGGCTCCCACGCGTTGACCCCGCACACAGCGGGTGTGCGTTAGCGAAGCCATGCCAAATCATGACTCACCCGAGCGATCGTATGGCTCCGACGCGTTGACCCCGCACAACGAGGCATAGCCGCCCAAGCAAGACGACCTCGCGCGCCTAGCCGAGTCAGGAGACAGACCGGAACTTGGAACCATGTGCAGCTATTGCATCACAAGTGCACGTAATCCAGCCTAGGTATGCTTGGAGAATGAATTTTGCCAGGTGGCGGATGCTACGATCACATTTGCTGCGCGCAGCTACTCGTGTCTAGATTCAACGTCGCGTGCTTTTCCCCAACAATAGTTCCATCTCGACTGAGCTGGAGTGGCCAGTTCCCAACTATGGAGTGGTATCGCTATACTTCCTACTCTATGAAACCATACGCTACCTGGCGCAAGCGATTCCAATCAAAACTTCGATTTTATGGCAGAAGCTGTGCCACTGCTTGCGAATGCACACTAATTCCCCATGGTCTATGATAAGACAACTGGATCATGATTTGAGCCACATCCGAAGCAGAAGCTAAGCTACTAAGCGACGATGGTCGTAATTCGCCGGCCCAGCGGGCCAGAGACGCTCTGGAACCTCCGGTCAGAGGGTCAGAATATATCTAGATCGATCGATCGATCTAGAAATATTCTAGATCGATCGAGCTAGAATATTTCTAGATAGATCAATCTTGATCGATCTTTACCCCCAGGGGCCGCCAGACGGAAAAAGCGAGCGGAGTCGGGGCCACGGATGCTGGAACTCCGGGGGGCGATCTTCAGGATCCCCTAGGAGCGCCTCGGGAGCGCCCCCCACGGACCCCTAAGGGAGCTCCGAGAGTGCCCCGGAGTAAGGATCAGTGGGCGGCCAGCCCCCAGATGGCCCGAAGACAGTCCCAAGAGGCCTCAAGGTGACCCCGCGAGGGTCCAATACAGGCCCAAAAGGGCCCACTTGAGTGTCAGTGTCATTTCAGTGTTTTTTGTTATGCGTTTTTCAGATTTTGGTGTTACCGCCGTTCGGGCATCTGACCGCCTTGAACGGCCCAGCATCCCCCCAAGATCGCTTCAAGTGAGCCCAAGATGCTCCCTCAAAGGCTCAGGGCCCGTGCTCCTGCTCCCCCTCCTACTGCTGCGTCTCCTCCTGCTGCTTCTCCTCTTGCTGCTGCTGGGGGGGCTCTGGCGTTCCATGTGCTGTTCCTGACGTTGATCCCTCGCTATCGCGATGAGAAGGAGGAGGCGGAGGAGGAGGAGGGACGAGGGACGACGGAGGGGGGAACGAGGGTACAAAGAGCAGCAATGAGGGAGGAAGGATGGTGATGATGATGAAGCTGATGATGATGATGATGATGATGATGATGATGATGATGCTGATGACGATGATGATGATGATGATGATGATGATGATGATGATGATGCTGATGATGATAATGATGATGATGATGATGATGATGATGATGATGATGATGATGATGATGATGATGATGATGATGATGATGATGATGATGATGATCATGATCATGATCATCATGATCATGATGATGAGGAGGAGGAGGAGGCGGAGGAGGAGAAGGAGGAGGAGGAGAAGGAGGAGGAGGGTGAGGAGAAGGAGGAGGAGCAGTAGGGAGGGGAAGGAGGGGGAGGATGTGAGAGGAGGAGGAGGAGGAGGAGGAGGAGGAGGAGGAGGAGGAATGTAGAGCAGGAGAATAAGGGGGAGGGGAAGGAAGAGCAGGAGCAGGAGTAGCAGGATCATGATGATGGAGGTGAGGATGATGATAGTGGTGGTGGTGGTGGTGGTGGTGGTGGTGGTGGTGGTGGTGGTGGTGGTGGTGGTGGTGGTGGTGGTGGTGGCGGTGGTGGTGGCGGTGGTGGTTGTGGTGGTGGTGGTGGTGGTGATGATGATGATGATGATGATGCTGCTGCTGATGCTGATGATGCTGATGATGATGCTGCTGGTGATTATGATGAGGATGAGGATGAGGATGAGAATGAGGATGAGGATGAGGATGAGGATGATGACGACAACGTGATGAGGATGATGATGATAATGTTGATGAGGAGACGGTTGATGATGATGATGAGGATGAGGAGGAGGAGGAGGAGGAGGAGGAGGAGGAGGAGGAGGAGGATGATCATAACAGAAAATGGGCGGAGGGTGAGGAAGAGGAGGATGTGAATGCAGAGGAGGCAGATGAGAGGGCGTTTGTTTTCTTTCCGGGGGATGGGGGGCTCGGACGCCATGCATCTGAATGGCGTTATGAGGTAGTAGAGGGTACCCTCCTGTCCCTATTGCTCATCATCCTCGTACTCCCTCCTCTCACTCCTACTCCCCCTCCCCCCTCCCCCGCTCTTGCGCACATGCTAGTAGGATCAGAGGTGATCCAAATGTTTGCAATCACTGCCGGCGTTCCCCAGGGCTGGCCTCTCTCCGGGTCTCTGGGCCCTTGGGTTCGATCCCTTCCTCCGCCACCTCGTCGCACCTTTGCCCAACAAAGCTGTGGCCACTCTGGGCGCCTGCGCGGATGATGTAGGAGTCGTCTTGAATCATATTCGCGTCCTGCCCCTCCTTTCTGCCACCTTCGTACATACTCGCCGAGCGTGTGGCTGGATTAGCACTGTAGCCCAAAAAGTGCGTAGCAGTTCCGTTGGCAATCGCGTGCACGATTGTAGCATGTGCCCGGATCTCCCAGTGCTCAGCTTGTCCCCGCGTGGGCACGATTCCAGGTGCGTTCGTGGGCCAAGTATCACGGCGTGCTGCATGTGTGCGATTGCCCGCACCCGCGCTCCCAGCGAGGCGGCCATACGATTGTGCGAGAACACATGCTTGTCAGTTTTTGGGTACATTGCTCAGTTTCTCCCGCTATGCCGAGAAATCGCCCACAAAGAATCTATGATGTTGTGTTCGAGTAGTTGCGCGCAGCTCACGTGATCGTACCGTCGGCCACCTGGCGAGATTTTTTTTCCAGGCCTACCTGGGCTGGATTGCGTGCGTCGTGCCTGCCTTCGGCCGCGTCCCTCCTCCCTCCTCCTCTTGCATGGTGGCCAGAGTCGCTCCAACAGAACCCCCGTGTAAGCCCTTCGTCGCCAGCGCAGTCACCCTCTGCCTATCGCCGCCGACGCAGAAAGTGTCGCGCTTGCACTGCGGCAGCAGCGTCCAATTTCAAGCTCCCCGCGATCTTCTGATCGCGAAGGCCTTACCGGCCGTGCGGCCGACCCCGCAGGGGGGCGACGAAGACGACGACGACGAAGACGACGACGACGACGACGACGACGACGACGACGCTCGCGAGCCCTCGTGGTGGCCCTTGCGGGCCCTGCTGGCCTCGCCCCCCCCCGCCCGGGGACCCCAGGGACCGCCTCCAGCGGTTCCCTCCCTGGGCCGCCCCCCTCCGGCGGGGGGGGGGATCAAAGGGCCTTCCCTTCGGCTCGACTGGTGCTCCCCCTCCTGCAGCTCTGTTGTGAGGCTCTCCTGGGCCGTCTACGACCCCGGGGCTGTTCCCCCCCCCCCGTGAGGAGGGTGGCGACGCCCCCCCCCCCCCGGCCTCCCCTACCCCCCCCCCCCCAGGATCCCTCCCCCCCCCCCCACGGGCGCGGGAAAGGGAGAGGCTTCCCTTTGAGTCGATTGCGACGTTGTTCGATTTTCGTCTGGCTGGGTCGCTTGAGGAGGAGGGCCCAGGGACAGGGGGAGAGTGGCGACGGCGACTCAGTACGTCTCACACACGCCGACAGGGTGGGCGGATTTGGCCAGGCGCGCGAAATCGTTTAGTTTGGGTGGCCATGTTTCATTGTGTGGGGTCGACGCGTGGGAGCCTCGGAACCATACGATAGTTTGTGCTGGTTGTGATTTCGCATAGCTTAGCTCACTAAGCACACCGTAGCTTATGCTTATGATTAACGCTGCTTGGCAGTCGAAGCGTCGAATTCCCAATTGCAAAATAACGTTTGGACACCTGTTCCGTCCATCGGACGTCTGGCACCGCTCTGAAAGTACGGCAATCGTGTTTTCAAGCGCGCATTCACCCATCAGCATTGCCGTCCATACACCAATCCCCAATCAAGCAATCTCGCTTATTCATGAGTGTAGCCACTAAACCTCTTTGTAAGAACGCGTCGGCTGGCTTATCCAATGCATCGGTTCGCCCCCCCCCCCGCAAACGTTTGTCGATGTAGCAAGCAATGAGTCGGAAGATGGCCACGCAAGGGGCCGCATGGACTGATCGGCAGGCATCATCATCTCGGGTCGTCGGAGAGGGGGACTGCTCGCACCCCCGAAGGGTCCGTGCCTCTCACAAACCAAGGTCAAACCTGCTCGGGGACACGCCAGGTGGCTCAAAACCAAATCCAGGGCTTAAGACTTGTCTGTGCTCACCTCTGCTCCGACCGCGGAAGACTGGCGGAGGGCTGGCGGGAGGCGGCGGGAGGCAGGCGAGGACCCGAGGGCGCCCGCCTCCCAGACCGCGTCTCGCCGTGCAGAGCAATCACGACGGGAGGCAGCCTCCGGCCTCCAGGGGCCCTCGCCAGGCCCCCTTATTATAGGGCCGTCGAGGAGGTATTCGGGAGGGGTCGAGACCTCCGGGGGCAGAAATGGAGACGCACGAACCCGAACAACACGCGGCGAATAGGGCGTCCGAGCGACGGCGGGGGCAGCTCTTGGCCTCCGGGGGCCCTCGCCAGGCCCCGAGGGGCCGTCGAAGAGGTCCTCGGGAGGGAGAGCCGGTCCCCGGGGAGGGGTCGAGACTTCCGGGGGTGCGGGTTGCGAGCGAACCTTGCGTCGGGGGTCTGGGTTCCAGGCCTACCCGCCGGGGCCGGAGTGGACGGGGTCGGAGGATCGCGCCGCACCGCCGATGCGTCGGTGAGGCGGCTGGATTTGGAGCTCCGCGCCGGCGTCGCCGACACGTCGGCGATGCGGCGCGATCCTCCGACCCCGTCTCCTCAAGCCCTGCTTGGGAGGCCTCTACAGCTGCACGCCTATGCGCCGATGCGGGCTGGGCCCCCAGTCCAGGCTCATCCATCGTGGGCGTCAGCATTGGTGCGCATGCCCTGGCTGCACGTAAGAGTGACCGTTCGCCGGAGTGACCTTCTGGTCCGCGGGCTCACATCGGGTCCCCCCGGCCCTGGCCTGCACGCTTGGATCTGACTCCCCCGCTACCTCCGAACGCCGCGCAGCAAAGGGCATTCCTTGGTCACCCTTGCGTGAAGGCGAATGCCGTCCTGGCCTGGCCAGGGGGGGGCGCATCCCCACCTCCTCTCGTCGTGAGGAATAACGTTCGGTCTCTGGGGGCCTTCACGGGGCCTCGGGACCGTCACAAAATGATCCCGTCGCGACCCCAAGCAGGGGAGCGCTTCCTAAGCCGCATTGCTTGGCGTTGCACTGCTGGGCATTGCTTGGCGCTTCTTTGGGGAACCAGGGGAATCCGAGGAAGGCCAGCCTTTCAAAAGCAGTGAAGAAGCAAGACCAAAGGAACCCGGGGCACCCGAGGAACGCCGGCCCAGGCCTACTTCTCACCTGCTGTCCAAGAACAAGTGCGGCAAGCCTGATTGGGAAACGAGCCGGGATGAAAAGCCAGTGCCAGGGAAGTGGTCCAGACCTTTTGGGGGCCGACGCGGCGAAAAGGTCACGGCGTCGGGGGTCTCCGAGCCCCGACGCCGCGATTTGTTCACAGCGCCCCAGTGGGACGCACGGGTCCTGGGCCCCGGGATGGGCCTGGGCAGGATCGGTCGGGGCATGTCGGGGCTGAAGAGACGGGGGTCGAAGCAAGCGAGGGTCAGCCAGGGCGCCAGATCTTGCAGGATCCTGCAGGGCCAGGGCCGCATTGACCCAGGCTTGGGCGCAGGATCCTGCAGGATCTTGCAGGATCCTTCGCGTTGGCCCCGGTTTGGGCGCAGGATCTTGCAGGATCCTGCAAGGCCCGACGGACCCGGGTCTGGATTGACCCGGGTCAGAAGATCCCCGAATCGGTGTGGTGGAGTGCGGCCGCCGCCCTCCCCGGAGGAGGCGCTGCGCGCCGAGTTGCGTGAGCTGCGGGACGGCAGGCTGCGCCTGGAGGAGGAGGCCAGGGACGCCAGGGAGGCGCTGGAGCCTCCCCTCCCCCTCAGGGGCAACGTTCGGGGGGGATGCAGCGGAGGCCCATGCCAAGAAACACCCTGCTCGCCTCCAGGGTGCCCTGGGTTTCTTGGGTTTCGATGGTTTTGCCATGGCCATGGACAGCGCGACGCTCCAGCACCAAAAGTCGATGGACGCCCTCGGGTCTCAGGGTTGGGTTTCTTGTGGAAGGTTTCGTGCGGACTGGCCTCCACTGCACGGTCGGGAACGTTGGTTTACCGTGTCGCTCCGCCGGTTCTGGCCCACCACGCTTCGGCGCGACACGCTGAGCACCTCCCCGGTCCCAAGCGCCAGTGTCCCGAGCCTTGCTGAGCTTCCCGCCCCGCGGAGCGGAGCGACACGCTAGCCGCTCGCAGGGCGCAGCGTGTCGCTGGGGCGCCCGCCGCGACACGCTGTCCAAAAGCTCCTGACCGTATAGGCTCCAGAATCGCCCACAGATCGACGGCGACGACGACGGCGACGACGGCGACGACGACGACGACGGCGACGACGACGACGACGGCGACGACGACGACGGCGACGACGACGACGACGACGACGGCGACGACGACGACGCGACGCGTGGACGCATCGACCCCCCAGAGTCGCCCAGGGATCGCCGAGGAGGGCGCGGTAGCCCGTCCCGCGCGCAGCAGAGCGCGGTTTTTCGCTAGCCGGGGGCAGATCGCATGTCTAGGACGTATCGCAATTTCCAGCTCGATGCGTTTTCCCCCCTGAGGGGGCCACATGCGAACCCTGCCCCTACCCCCTATGATTTCTGAGGGGGAGGGTGGGGTTCACTTCGCTCGGAAGCTCCCGAACGAAGTGAACCCCACCCTCCCCCTCTGAAATCGTGGGGGGTAGGGGTAGGGTTCGTATGTGGCCCCGTACCTGAGCCGTTCGCCCCCTATCGTTCCCCCGTACCCCCCGTTCAAGCAGCGGCGGCGCGTCCGGACATGCCTGCAGTAACAAAGACTAAGGTTATTAGATAATGTCTTGGCTGAGGCAGTCTTGTTTTTCTCTATCGCTCTTGAGGTATGAGCACGACATTGCCGTAATGAGAACCCTCGTTTGTTCTAAGAGCATGTCGTGGTAGGCTTATGGGAATGCTGGAACAGTCGGTCCCTGCTCAACTTGTGCCTCTGGGCCCCCCAGACGGGGTCCGAGCAGATGTGGTCGGAGGATGGCGCCGCATCGCCGATGCATCGGCGGTGCGGCTCGATGTGGAGCCCGATCTTCTCCACGCCGACGTCGCCGATGCGTCGCCGACGTCGCCGATGCGTCGCCGATGCATCGGCGATGCGGCGCGATCCTTCGACCCCATCTACTCGCATACCATCTGGGAGGCCTCCAAGTTCTTTGTCCGAGCCTGCTGGCGTGCCGTCTGTCACCCCCTCCCCACGGCTCTTCATCTCCCTGACCCCAACCCAGACAACCGATGATATAATTTGTTCAATGCGCAGCCCCAATGGACCCGTCAACTTCCCCAGGGCCCTTTTCGCGCCCACGGTGCAATGTTGTGTGCCCCTGGCCCCGAAAACGGGCCCCGCGGTGGCCGAAATCGAGGAACAACTCAAGAGTTTGAGCAAATCATACCGTCGGAGGGCTATAGGTTGACACCCACCCCAATATCGGCGTTGTGCCTCCGCCGAGGGAAGGCGATCCCGATCTCGGTGTTGCTGGTAATACTTGGGCTTCCCAGGTGGCCAACAAATTACCACCAACACCAAAATCTAGGACCAGCTTCTCCCGGTGGAGGCCCCCCCCCCCCCTTTGTTGGTGCCGGTGCCCATTTCCAAGCCTCCACTACCGCCGGAGATCTGGGATGCAGGGTTCCCCTGCGCCCTCCCTCGGTCTCTGGCAGTCGGTGGGTGTGCCGCCCTGGCCGACCCGAGGCGCTGGAGTCCGAGAGGGCCGCGGGGGGCGCCAGCGCGTCTGCGGAGCTGTCGCTGCAGCGGGCGAAGGCGCAGACACTGGAGCTGGAGCTGGAGGCCTCCAGGAGAGGCGGCTCCAGAGATCTGGGCCCCCAGACGGGGTCCGAGCAGATGTGGTCGGAGGATGGCGCCGCATCGCCGATGCATCGGCGGTGCGGCTCGATGTGGAGCCCGATCTTCTCCACGCCGACGTCGCCGATGCGTCGCCGACGTCGCCGATGCGTCGCCGATGCATCGGCGATGCGGCGCGATCCTTCGACCCCATCTACTCGCATACCATCTGGGAGGCCTCTAAGCGGGGGCCTCGTCTTCCCCAACTCCTCTCGCCGTGGACGAGTTCACGGCGGGAGGCTTCTGGCTGTCCTCGGCCTCCAGGGGCCCTCTCACCAGGCCTCGGGGCCGTCACAGGACACGGCCTGGGACGAACCAAGCTGTCCTGGGGAAGGGCCAGTCCAGACTCCTGGGGGTCGTCGGCGTTCCCACTCCGAGGAATACTGTGGGGGCGTTCGTTCAGGAATGTGCCTGGGAGGCTGCAGACCCTGGATGACCCCTGAATTCGTGAGGGCGACGGTGATATCCGTGGCCGATCCGCGATCGGAGCTCCACCGGCCTCCAGACCCACCGTGTCCTCGTCCAAGGGGGTGCCCGGTCCGGTGCCCCCAGCGTGTCGAGGGGCCGGCACCTCTGCCCTGGCGGAGGGCGGCAGCAGGCCGGCGGAGGGCGGCGGAAGCAGTGGCAGGGGGGCGGCTCCGCCGCGGGAGGCCGGCGGAGGCAAACGTCGCGCCCCCCAGGGGGGTCGGCTGCACGTCAGTCGGGCCGGACGAAAGGGGGGGACTGGGAAAGGGAGGGTGACGAAATTTGCTCCATGCAGCTGATTTCGGCCTCACCGAGGGGCAAGTTCCTCGATGCACAGCCGCCTCTGGCGCCGGGAGGCGCCGGGAAAATCAGCTACGTGAGCTGATTCTCAACCCCCCCCTTTGCTATTCCCCCCCTTTCGCCCGACCCGAGTCAGGGTGACCCTTCGCCGGAGTGACCTTCGGCGCGGGCCCAAGGGGTCGGGGGTGGACAGGCCTCCTGCCCTGACACTTCGACTAGTGGATTGGCCGTTTTCGGTTCGCGGGAGGGCGTCACGGCCGTTATTTTTGCGGGTCCAGGTCCGTCGGTTTCGGTCCCAGGCCGTTTTCACCAAAGGGAGGTTTACTAAAGGGAGGTCCCCCGATCGCCTGACGCGGTGCGATGGTAGCGCCGTCTTGTGCGCTTGTGTTTGGTCCCCCCGCGTCCCCCGTGCCGCGCACCAAAGGTCACTCTTGCCCAGGGTCACTCTTGCGCGCGGCCGACTGGAGTGAGAAACATGTGGTGTGTGTGTGTGCGTGTGTGCGTGTGTGCGTGTGTGCGTGTGTGCGTGTGTGTGTGTGTGTGTGTGTGTGTGTGTGTGTGTGTGTGTGTGTGTGTGTGTGTGTGTGTGTGTGTGCGTGTGTGTGTGTGTGTGTGTCTGTGTGTGTGTGTCTGTGTGTATGGGCGATTCAGGGTGTAGTGATGTTGAAAACACTGGGAACGTGTTTTCCCCATTGTCCAAGATCGACGTGCTTTCAGTGTGGGAATTAGCTTTTGCTCCGTTTGGGGGTTCTCTTTCGCACCGTTCTCGGCTCGATTCCGTTTTATGTGCAGTTTTGTATGTTTTGGGATGCGTTGTTTTTTTGTCCGCTCTGGTTGGCCGAAAAACCGAATGCTTGAACACGGAGAAAAGGCATCCGATGTGTTTTCAACATCGTTTGAGGTCCAGGGTTTCCGGAGCCCGTCAGGAGGCACGCGGAGCGCTTGCAGGAGCAGATCGTGGAGATGGCCAAGAGCGAGGGCGCCTCCCGCTCCGAGGGCCTCGACGACATCCGCAGGGAGCTGTCGAAGATAAGCTCGATGCGCGGACCCCCGCCCGAGGCCCGGGTCGGACGAGAGCGGTCGCCGTGAATCGACGAGCGCGTTCCGCTACTCGCAGCGTGCCCGCTCGCAAACGCCCGAGAACCAGATGCTTGCCTCGGCGGAATGCACCGCCGATCCCCGCCGCGGATCCGGGCCATTCGCGAGCAGTCGCCCTGCGAGCAGTGGAGCGCGCTCGCTCCGCAGAGCGGGCCCGGACCTCCAACGGCGTGCGTTTTCCATCCTGGCGTTCTTGCTCGAACTCGGCCTCCGGGGCCCGTTCTCGGGCCCTGCCTGGGGCCATCAAGATGGCCTCCGGGCAGAGAGTCGGGAAGTCTCTGGGGGCGCGCGCGTCGACACAATGATTGCGAAGGCCTCACGCCCGTTGCCGCCGACCCTGAGAGCGACGAAGATGCAAACGAGGGGGGGGGGGCGGCAGGGGGGAGGAGGTGGACGAGAGAGGAGGAGGGGGGAGAAGGATGTGGAGGAGAAGCAAGAGGAGGAGAAGGAGGCAGAGGAGAGCAGGAGGAGGGGGAGCAGAGGGGTGGGGAGGAGGAGGAGGAGGAGGAGGAGGAGGAGGAGGAGGAGGCCAGAGGCTTTCTTGGGACAGCCTGTGGCTCTCCTGAGGCCGTCTTGGGCCGTCCAGGGCTCCTCTTGCGCCGTCTCGAGGCACTCTTGGAGGCCTCCTGGGCAATTTGGGGCTCTCCTGGGCTGTCTTGGGGCAGTTTGGGGGCCCCTTGGGAGCCTCTTGGGGCCTCTTGGGGCTTCTTCGGGGCCTCTTGGGGGCCTCTTGGGGCTGAGAGCTCGAAATGTCCATTCGGGTCCCCCGTCTGGGCACTCTCCTGGAGCCGTCTTGGGGGCCTCTTGGGCCGTCTTGGAGGCGTGGGCCGTCTTGGGGCCCTCTTCGGCCGTTAGGGGACCCTCTTGGGGGCCTCTTGGGCCGTCTCGGGGCGATCTTAGGGGCCTCTTGGGCCGTCTTGGCGCGTCGGGAAGCGGAAGAGGCAAGAACGCCAAAATCTTTCAAACACGCATGGGAAATCAATGAATTTTGCCTTTGGGGGCTCTCGTGGGAAAGCTCCTGGAGGCCTCTTAGGGGCGCTTTGCAGGCCTCTTGGGCCGTCTGGAGGCCGTCAAGGCGTCTTGGACAGATCGCTCGGCGATTCGGGGTTCTCGTGGACTGTCTTTGGAGCCGCTTGGAGCACTCTTGGTCCGTCTTGGGGCTTTTTGGGGCTCCGAGACTCCCAGGGGGGCGTCGTATCTCACCCCCCCCCGGGGGCGTCTGATTCCCCCCCGGGACCCCCCCCCATCCCCCGCCGGCGGGGGAGGGATCGAAGGGGCTTCCCTTCGACTCAATTACGACGTTGCTTATTTTCGCTTTGGCTGGCGCGCTGAGGAGGTCCCTGGGAAAGGGCAAAGGAGGGAACTTCGACGAGCCCAGGGAAAGGGGGGAGGCAGGGAAAGGGGACGACAGAGACGACGACCAACGAATGACGGAGATGACGACTTGAACGGACAAGCCCGGGTCGGCGGATTTCGTCGGATGTCTTGGGGGGGTCCCGTCCTGGGGCTTTCCGCTTGTTTTCGGGCTCCCAGGGCCCGTCTGGGCCCTGGGACCGCTTGAGAAGCCACCCCGCCCGGGGCTTTCCCCCAGCCGCTGTTCAGACGTGGCCCTGGGAGAAGGCCCCTGGGGCCCAGGACCAGTTTCCCCCAGGACCCCCGCCTGCTTCGTGCCAGATCGGGAGAGAAAGGGGGGGGGGTACACCACTGGCTGCACGCGCCCGGTCTCGGCCCCGCCGCCGGTGCTCTCCTCGGCACACGGGTGCCTCCAGCGCCAGGAAGCGTCGAGGAGTGCATCTCGACCCCCACTCGCGCACACATCGCCAATAGGGGGCCCGATAGCCCGCCCCCGCCCACGAACGTGCGGATTCGCTACGGGGGCCCTGTCGCCGATCCATCGGCGATGTATCGCCGATTCCAGGCTGCTGACCCCTCCCCTCAGCCCCCCCCCCCCCCTCTTGCAACCCCTCTTTGTTGCAGCCCACCCTTCCGTCCGCCCTGAAAGGCGGCCGCTGGCGATGACAGGCCCCGCGGCGCGGGTGCTGCGGAGCCTCTTCGCACCATAGAGGCTCTTCGCACCATGGAGGGCGACGGTCCCCGAAGGAGGAAAAGACATCATGTCGAAGTTGATTAGCAGGTCGACCCTTAACTTTCACATGAAAGGTACCCCTGTATCCAGCGCATGGCGTCTCATGTATGCTGCTTTTCTCGGGCAAGGGCGCCCTGGTTTAGAGTTCTTGTTGCCTTCGGAAGAGATTTGTGTCCTCCTGTGTGCCCCCTCTAATCAAAATCGGCATAAACATGTGATGGACGGGGACTTTTGCTTAGCGTCTCGCGCCGCCAGTTCCGCCTCGGCCAGACACGCTGTCCACATCCTGGTCCCCAGGCGTCGACGTCCTGAGCCTTTCGAAGCCTCCCACACGCTATCCGCTTGCAAAGCATGGCGTGTCGCCCAGGCCGCCGCCGCGACACGGTAAGCAAAAGCTTGCAACCGGTATGGAAACAGTTACCCCAGCAGGGTTGGCCAGAGACGTTGGCTGGGTTTGGCCAGATGGTCTGGCGAGGTTGCCCGGAGGATTGGCTGGGGTAATTTTTCGATCGGTAGTTCTTCTTTCCACGAGATATAGGAAATGTTCGAGATCCGCGCGGATTTCCTGGGGTCGGCGCTGGACACACCCCCTCGCGCGGAGCGCGCCAGAACTCAGCGCCGATCCCAGAAAGTCGCGCGGACGTCCGAGAGTTTATGCTTGTGCGTGCTTGTCTGCGGGCCGGGCGTGGCCCGTCCCCCTGAGCGACCCCTGCTCCCTCTCTCCTCCGTCGGCCGCCCTCCCCTTGGCATCGCTCGGACGTGTGCTTTGTTTTCTCGGCGAGGACAATCGAGGAGCATCCTGGATCATCGAGCAAAACACCACGCGCAAGACCGAACAATGCACGGGGAATGGACGTCCGAGCGATGGCAAGTCCCTGCCTCCTTCTGTTTCCCTGCAGAGCGGCACGCTTCGCCTCGACGGCATCCCCGCTGTCACTGCCCTTCCGCCAGCGCAGCTGCTCTGCCTGGCCGCTGGCGTCACGGTGCGTCTGCTGCCCCCAGGTCTGCGCATGTCTCTCCACCCGGGCGGTCGGAAGTCGCTGATGGACCAGAGGCTCATCTTCGAGAGCCTCCGGGAGCAGTTCCAGGAGGCCGTGACGCCCAGGGGCGAGCGGCCCCCGCCGCCGGTCGCCCTGGCCCTCGGCACGACGGGGCTGAAGGTCTCGGACGAGGTCCTCGAGCTTCGCAGGACTCGGCGGCGCGTGCACGGCGTGCCCCACCCCCGCCCCCTTTCGCGTCGCGAAGGAGAGCAAGACACACGACGGGCAGTTTGTCGGCGGAGTTTGGCCTCCTGTCCCTCACAGGGATGCGGGACCGTCCGAGAGGGACCCAGGACGAAACACGGCTCCCGGGGAAGGGGACGTTGAGAACCAAAAACATGACGCGGGGGGCGGGGGTGAGAGTGACCTTCATTGGGACCGTCCAAAATGGGAGGCGATGGAGGGGTGGGTACCATTGCCGGGGCCATGCAATGCGATCTGCTCAGATTTTGGCCCCGCTTCCTGTGTTAATTCGGTCCTTCGGCGCACCCTGGGCCGCGCACGTGCTTCCCGCAATGATATGCGAACCCCCTTTTGGGACGTCCCCTCTTGGACGTCCCCGATCTTCGCCGTAGAACCCCTCGGTGTCGGCCCAAGTGAGGTCCCGCCGGCACTGACTGGGCGCGCTCGGATTTCGGTGATTGAGCCTCTCCAGGAGAGATCACCGAAAGTCAGAGGGTTCTTTCGATGTATACGCCACGTCGTTCGTTCGGCCAAGGACCCTACACGTCTGGCCGCAATTAACGCGACGACGCCGGGTGGCTTTTGACAATGCGTCATCACTGAGCAGCCTCTGCAAAGTTGAGGCGCAGTGGGTGCTCTTTGTTGAGCGGTCCCTTCAAAGTTGACGGGCGCGCTGGGCTCTTGGCTGGAAGCATCCTGTCTACCCGCCCGTGCACCTCGATGCGGTGGCTTCAGCTTGGGAGGGCGGGGCAAGCTCCCCGCGGCGCGACTTCAATGTTGTCTCGTTAGTCGTGGTCAGGCTTGTAGGAATTCGGCGAATGAGTTCGGTGTATCGACGCTCCAGCCTTCCAACGTCTTGTCAAGCTGGGCCGTCTATACACCGAGCATCTTGGCCGACCAAAACAGGTCCATCCTTGCCAGGGGCCACTTTTTACCCATCGGTCGTTGAAAGTAGGTATGCTGGGAGTTCCAGATTCCAATCTACTTTACGCGCCTTCCTACTTCAATGATCGAGTGGCTCCACCTTTTCCGTCCGCTGTGGGGGGCGGGTGGACACACACTCTGCTTTCAATGCCTTCCTACTTTCATGTTGCTAATTACCTACTTCTTCCAACCGATGGGTACCGTGCAGCCAGCAGGACCAACACGGACCTCAGCGCGCGGGTGGAGTGCTTGGAGCGTGAGCTGCGGGAGGGGGCCGAGGAGGCCTCGCGGATGCTGCAGAGCAACGGCGACTGGCGGCGCGCACAATGGGGCGGGTCAGGGACACTGAGACCAGGATCAGGAGTAGGAGGAGGAGGAGGAGGAGGAGGAGGAGGAGGAGGAGGAGGAGGAGGAGGGGGAGGGGGAGGACGAAGAGTTGTAAGCCAGGGCTCTGAAAGCTCAAGCCTGGAGAGGACGAGAGGAGTCGGGACTGTTCCGGCTTCTCGGGCTCGCCGACGTGCTGGTTCATCAGAGTGCCCTCCTACGGGGCCTCGCGTGGGGCGAGGCCAAGGGCGCCCTCGAGGGCGCGAAGTTATTCGCGCTTCGCGCTTCGCGGCTCGGCTCCGATTCCTCCTCATCCTCTTCTCCCCTGGGAGGCGGCGCGAGAGCGCGAAGTCATTCGCACTTCGCGCTCCGCGCAGCGCGAGGCGGTCGTTGAAAGTAGGTAATGTTTGGATTCCCGGATCCCAATCTACTTCAAGCGCCTTCCTGCTTCAAGAATCGACACGCTTTTGCTGTGCTTTGTTATTCTCTGGGGGGGCCTGGACCCAATCTACTATATCCGCCTTCCTACTTCATGTTTCTACCTACTTCTTCCGACCGACGTGTACGCCCTTGCCGCTTTTTCTCAACAGCGCTCGCACTTGGGGGTGTTTGCTGCTGGTCCAAGGAATTGGGCATGTGTGCCGCTCTGGCGGCCATGTTGCCGCCGACGCCGCCTCGTCGCCGCCCGACGTCTGGGCCGGTGTGGCGCGTTGCCGCCGTCGCCGACCCGTCGACGCCCCGTCGCCGCCCGTCGTCTGATTGCTTTGCGTTTCGTTACCTTGACTTGCGTTGTGTTGCTTCAAGTTGCTTTGCGTTGCGTTGCGTCACGTAGGACATAGGTTGCAACACACAGATTGCACAATGGATATCAGCGAGGTGCAGTATCTGTGGACCGCTCTGGCGGCTACGTAGCCGCCGTCGCCGCCCTGTCGCCGCCCTGTCGCCGCCTCGTCGCCGCCCGTTGGGCCGGTGTCGCGCTCTGGTGGCCAGGCAGCCGCCGTCGCCGCCTCGTCGCCGCCCGTCGTCTGGGCTGCTGTGTCGCTCTGACGGCCATGTTGCCGCCGTCGCCGCCCCGCCGTCGCCTCGTTGCCTTGGGGCTGCGGCGCGCGGAGCGCGCCAGCCGCGGCGCCAGAGGCGCTGCCAGGGGGGGGATCTGGCGCGGGCCTCGGGGGAGGGGGGGATCTAGTCGGCAGGCGTCGGCTCAGGGGGGATGCCTCGACAGGCAAGACGCCCACTCGCCGCCAATGAGGGCCCGATGGGTCGGGGGTGGGCAGACCTCCTGCCCGGACACGTCGATGCAGGAATTGGCCGTTTTCGGTTCGCGAGAGGGCGTCGCGGCCGTCATTTTTGCGGGTCCAGGTCCGTCGGTTTCGGTCCCAGGCCGTTTTCACTAAGGGGAGGTTTACTAGAGGGAGGTTTGTCCACCGCCGACTGAGGGCCCGATAACTCATCCCGCCGCCTAGCAGTGTGCGAATTCTCTGTGGGAGGCTATCGCTGATCTATCGGCGATGTGCCGCCGAGTCACGCTCGACGTTTTCTCCCAACTTTCCCCCTCAAGGCCCAAGAAGTCCGCGTGGACCTCTGGGAGTCTGCGCTTGCTCCTTGCTCGGACTTGTCATCTGCGATTCTGCGCGGGCAGCTCCAGTCGTCCCGCCCCCAGGTAAGTGGCGCGCCGTACAGTCGGGGTGCTGAACGAATGATGACTACCTTGGGCTTAGGATGGGCTGGTCTTCGGGCCGGTGCTTAGATCGGGGTCGGGCGTCCTATTCACGGCTGGGGCTCGTCGTGGCCAGAGGGGGCCCCTTCGTCCCTCGTTCTGGCGTTCCTGCCGGTTGCACGCCCGACTGCCGAGGCGAGCTCCGGGCCGAGCTCCAGGGCCTGCGCTCCCGCCTCGAGCCGGCGCAGGACCACCAGGCGCGCCTCGCGCGGGCGGAGGAGCAGTGCGAGGCCCTGAGGCGCAGCGTCGAGCAGCACCAGCGGGCCGCGCAGAGCGCTGAGCGGTCCCCCCCGCCACCTCCACCTCCTCGCGGGCGGCTGAAGCACGTCACACGTCCGTGCCCTCGCGGTCTCGAAGCCGCGGCTGTGATTCCGTGGGCGCGGTCCGCACGGGGGATCCACGCAGAGCCGCGCCGAGTCCATGGTGCCGAGGCCGAGCAGTGTAGGCCGCGGGGCCGCGGATCTGGACATCTTTCCCGCCCGCGGCCTCCTTCGTCGTCGTCGTGTTCGTCGTCGCTTGCCTGGCCGCCACAGAGCCCCGACGTCGTGGCTTCTCAGCGGTGCTCGGGGGCCGAGGCTCCTTGGTTATTAGAAGAACCAAAGCGACGCTTAAAAAGAGGGTCAACGACCTGCGGATCTAGCACCTGCAATTCTTTTCTGACTCTGACCGGCAGAAACCCCGAAACCTCAGGGTTTGGGGCCCGCCCCCACCGAGCAGATGCCTGGCGAGTGCTCATGGGCGGGCTTGGGCCGCAGATAGCCACTCCTCAGGGGCCGAGACTGCGGGACCCGCCCCGCTCAGAAAACATGCTGCGAGAGCTTTTGACTGAGCGGGTACAGTCACCAGGTTTTCAGCTTCTGGATGCGCAGGGGCGTCCAGAGCTCTCGGCCCCGTCTTGCTTGTTGTTGCCGTCTGTGGGCCCCAGCCCGGGGCCCCAGCCGAGCAAAAAGGTGTTCTTCCAGGGCGCCGGAGTGTTTTTGCCTCTCCAGCGAGAGCTGGAGGTCGAGGGCGGAGGGCGACCGCATCGCCAAGGGCGTGGAGTCCGAGAACAAGCGCCTTCGGGAGGAGCTCAACGAGGTGACAGGCAGGCTGAGGAGTACGAGAGACGTTGTCAACAGGTTGACGATCAGAGGGTTCAAAGTAGGACACGCATATGCTGGATATGCTGGATGCTACAGTGGCACGCATGTTCGCACTCGATGGTCGTCTGCAGGACTCCTTTGGCGTCATTGTCTGAACGACGCTTCTGCAAGATCATTGCCGCTATTAGTATGCATTGCGTTCTCAGTTGTGTTGAGTAATCACCTCGATACTTTATGAGCCGCCGGATAGTACACTACAGACTCGGAGACATTTCTCCTTACGCCACACCAAGGCCCCAAGAACAACCGAAAGACAAACGAAACCTTCTGCGCCCAACCCCGTCCGCCTCAGCAGTCATCATTTGGTGGGCGTTTTGCATGGTTCCGCATCGGTTTCGCCTGGTTTGGGCTCGGTTTCGCCTGAGACGTCCTCGCAGGTTTCGGCGCGGTTTCGCTTGAGACGTCTCGCAATTTGCTTGGTTTCGCCTGGTTTGGGCATGGTTTTGACTGAGACGTCCTCGCCGTGGTTTGGCCTGGTTTGGGCCCGCTTTCGCCTGAGACGTCCTTGCAATTTGCATGGTTTCGCTGTGGTTTCGCCTGGTTTGGGCCCGGTTTCGCCTGAGACGCCCTCGCAATTTGCTTGGTTTCGTTATGTTTCGGCGCAGTTTCGCCTGAGACGTCCTCCTGGTTGGTTCCCCCTGGTTTGGGCGCGGTTTCGTTCGAGAGACGTCCTCGCCATTTGCTTGGTTTGGAGACTTTAAGGGTAGCTCTTTGGGAGATGTTACAGTATCGGGAGCATAGCTCGCGCGCCGCTGCCTTGGGCTCAAGGCACGCGCGCCCTATTTGCCCGGACACCGCGAGTGTTCGCTATGTGTTGGAAAGATCATTACATCGATCTTATCCTATCTTACCCATCCACCCCTCATACTGTACCTTCACAGCAGAGCGATGGATGCAATTTGCCAGGCTATATGCCCTATTTGAGTTACCAGGCTCACTTTCGACTTGGTAGCGGAGCTGGCCGCACTCTCGTGTGGTCAGCTCTTGCTCTTCTTAGCCTCATATTCTTCGGCACGATCTTCGTGACCACCTACCACCCTGCGCCACCACTCCCAGTACGTTTACGAGGATCTATTCAAGAGCAAGAAGCAACACGAGAGGTACGACGTCTAGACGACCAAACTGGTACCATATACGCTTCATCATTGCGTTACTACCAACCGCTCGGCAACGAGCTAACAGCGCAATACTTGAAGCAAGGGCGGGGAGACCCGCCAGACAGAGCGCCTCGAAGACTCGACAAGGCGCTATCCCAGCGCGACAACGCGCATCATAACCGTCCTTCGTTACACATTCTCGGGCTAATCGTTTTCGCTATCATATGGTTCGCGCTGGGGGCAGCAATCGGACACATGCGTCGTGGAGATAACAGCACCGATGGGCAAACACATGGCCCATATTGGGACCCTCAAGGTAATGTACCTTTTCGTGAGTACATCTACGAGGTCAACGCATGGCTCAACGTTACAAGCGGACGTATGACGCCACAGGCCCAAGCGGCCGCAATACAACGCGGCCTAGGTGGCCTAGCGAGGACACTCGCCATGAGGGTACCGCCTGACATTATAAACTATGGTGCTGACATTGATGGGGTCCACACAGACCCAGTAACTTACATCATGTTCCTCCTCAGCATGAAGTTCGAACGCCTGGAAGATGAGCGACAGCTCACTTCCGGCACACAACTCATCGACTTCCATGTGCCTCACGGGGAACGAATCGATGTCACTCTTACCCGATTCGAAATGGCCCGACTTGAGGCACAGTCGGTGGGATTCGACCTTCCTAACTTCCAACTGCTAACCACTATCCTATTCCGCGCCTTAGGCGTCGGCAACCAGAAAGCCATGCAACTCTTACAGCCACTCAATCACCAAATGCTTCGAACACAACAACAGTATGATGAGTTGCTGGAAAGGATGCGTTCGGTAGGTCACCTATCCGAACGATCTCCTGGTAACATAGGATCCGTGTTTGGAAGAGGAAGGGGATCTGGTAGTGGAAATTTCTACACTACCTTGACTACTGAAGCCCAGCCTGGAAACGGGCCCTCAAACATATGGGCCGATGACCCAGGAGAATCCACTGCTTTATTAGCAGGGGATCGATCACAACCAAGCTGGGCAACCAGCCCTCCTTCTAGAGAACCACAACCACACCGCTCGTTATGGGGGGAATCAAATCCCCTAACCGACGGTGTATCCACCTATTTAGGAGACGAAGATTTCGACTCCGGCACCGATACAGACACTATATCATCAGATGGTGTTGAAGCTCTAGATTGGTCAGATATCATGAATATGGATAACGACAATCAGCGTGCTGAGCATTTATTCTGGCTGTTACAACAGGCTAAACGAAGGTGGAGGAGGTTCACACGAAAACCAGTGCGTCGTGTTAGAAGGAGGATACGCAGAAGTTTTAAAGGAAAGGGTAAAGGCAAGCGTGGTCGTCGGAGGTTGAACGGGCGAGGTATCGCGGCATTTCTCCAGAGGCTCTCAGATGAACAACATGATGAGATATTCTTTGGGGGAAAAGGCCGTGGTAAAGGCCGTAGAGAGACCTCAGGTAAAGGTAAAGGTAGGCGGGAAAACCCGCGAGGTAGAGACGGCCAGGTTCTCAAATGCCATGAATGTGGTAGTTCCGACCATCTTGTGCGAGATTGTCCAGCGAAGGGAAATGGAAAGGGCATGTCGTCCGAAGTCCATTTTGGCTCAAGTGCACCATCCATTGAATATCTGAGCCTCCAGGACTTTGAGGCTATGGAACAGATATTTTTCACTTGGGTTGTTGGCATGGACAACATCGACGAGCTCGAGGGGTATGGTCATGGATTGTACGCGTACTACCTCGAGTACGTCCGCCGGTTCGTCACGGGCAGTAACGAACTCACTCCCGTGGAACACGGTACGCTTGGAAACGAGCCTCTTTCATTCTTCGACTGGATGTTCGGGAACCCAGGCAACATCATGGCCTACGAGAGTGACGACGAGGACACCACTATAGAGGCTTCGCCTTCCGAGGTTCAACGAAACCTCGAACCTCCGCCCGAAATCCCGCCTGGAAACAGGCCTTCTTTGATGGGAGAATATCCCCAGACCACTGAAGACTTAATTGAAATGGAGTCTCAGGCATTTGTTCAGGCCTTCATTGCAGGCGAACCAGATATTCCGTTCATACCTCCTGGTTCGCTTGCTCCAGGCGAATATGGACCACGTACCCTTTTGCAGACCCTCATGAGGATGCATGAGATACTTACAATTGGTTATCCTGAGAGTCAAGAACATATCGAAGCTGACATCATGACAGAACAGGATAATTATGCTTGCGGTAGTTCAGAGCTGATTTTGGCAGCTCTGACTCTCGTTGACAGCGTGTATCCTCAGGAAGTGCAGAGACACTTGATATACTCCCGTGGTAGATGGCGTCGTGCTCTGGAAATGGCAATGGCTATGCGCGGTCATGATCTTCCTCCGCCAGGATGGGGCCTCCAGGCGGTGGGAATGAGGCCAAACCATACGGCCATGCGTAACATTGCTGGGCAGCCTATGCTCGGCGACGAGCCTGAGCCGACAACAGTGCCTCCTACTCCGGGACAGCCGAGCGACGCCCAGACGCCGGCTATGCAGGGAAACCTGCCTGTACCAGATACGCCAATGGCCATCATCATTGGTAGTTCGACATCAGAAGAAGTAGATGGCGATGGCTGCGGGTTAGATGAGGATGATGTCACCATCCTCATGATGGACGTGAATGGTGAGGAAGAGGTTGATTTCGACCCTGATGAGTCTGAATCATCATCACCATCGGCACAAGCGCCACTTGCGCCGAGCTCTACACAGCAGGGAGACCCGCCTCCATCGGATGATCCATCTGGGATCGCACAGGAGCCCTCTCAGGCACCTCCACCGGGTGCCGCTCCTGCTGCATCGGCAGCTTCCTCTGATGAGAACACCAGAAGATCTCGTTCCCATACGCGCGTCAGAGAAGAGCCACATCCCCAGGCTCGACTTCCTCGTGAGTGGAGACAGGCTGGCCCAAAAGAACACGCTCTCAGGAGAGGTGGCCAGCTACTTCCGTACAACGACCCAAGACGCCGAAAAGGGGAACACTCGGCCTTCGGCCAGGGCAACCCTGCCTATAGGGACAGCGATGGCAAGCCCATCCGCGGAGGCTATCAGCTTGCAACAAACATCCGCCGCCCTGAAATTCAAGAAGTGCGGACTCAGTTACGAGATATTATCGCGGCGCGCAAGCAGTATAGGCCTCACGCAGCATGCGGACCTTGTTCCCAGCCGTTCCAGAATCACAGGCCAGGATGCCCCGTTGGCAACAACGAAGGCCTGAGCCCCAACAGGGGCAAAACCCCTCCTAAAGAGGGCCATCCGCCACTTATCCCGATGACGCAGGACGAGATCGCGGAAGTGAATCGTCGTCTCGGGATCTTGAGCCACTTGGATCCGAAAGAAGAAGAGAAGCCTAACCCGGTTCCAAGGGGGCTGGTAGCCATGACCCAGGAAGAGAAAGACGCGCTCTTTAGTCTTCCTAGTATGCGAGGAAACTCGCCTGGCGTCTCTAGCCAGTCCCAACAACCAGAGCCGATCATCAAGGACGAGACAAAGGCTGAACGTGTGGCGGGGGATGAGGAGCGTATTCGGACAGTAGAAGAACGCACGCGCGAGGCAACTCGCAAGATGTTGGAGGATTCCAGCACGATCTACATGAAGGGGGCTAGGAAACCCCCACTCCCACTAACTTCGAAGGCTAAGAGTGAACCCCCGACACCTAAGCCGTCTTCGGAGCCGAAACCGAAGGCGATCTCTCAGAGCCCCGGGCCAGACGTGCATATGGAGGTGCCTCGATCTGCGACGCCGAGGCCGCCGATTGGCGCAACTCCTCCACAAGCGTCTGTGCCCAAGCAGCAACCTCAGGACCCTATGGAGGAACGAAGACGCCCGCTTAGTCGCAGCAAGTCCATTGCGAAAAGGGCGGCAGCTT